CCGGTAGAATACAACCGACCGGTTGCCGAATTAATGCATACACAACGCAGAACGCCGGGATTAAATGCGGTGGGAGGAGATCCTTAACTAACAGAAAAGCTGGACTAAACGTGGTTACGTAGAGGATGTTGCTGCATGCGAGAAGCAAAATGTAAATGGAAAACGATGTCCACGGGCGAATTTTCGCGACAAGAATATACAAGAGGAATGCGTTCAACACTAAAGCAATGGCACAAATGCTGGCTATCCATGACTGAAGGTGATCCCAGTGCGAGGCAACCAAATAACGCTGTTCAGTGGCGTTGGGTGTCTTTGTTATGTGGACCATCTTTGCAGGATTTATTTCAACGGGAAGTTTACACCGCGGTAAAGGTGCGTCCACTGTAACTGATGTACAGTAAATCCTGGTGATACCCGCAAGATTTCTTTTTTGGTAACCGGAATTCGGTTGTAAGAAAACTCTGGAAAGATTTAAAAAATTAGCAGAAATTTTGATTTACCATGTAAATGTGGGACCGACCGTATGAGCCTGTCCTGGATAGCTTATGGTAGCTTTGGCAACAGTTATCCGGATGCCAGTTCTGCTCTTGATTTTAGAAGTATGTTGAGAAGGCCGCGTGATAATCCTTTTCTCGCGTGCTGAATGGGATTGTACCGATAAAAATATTTTGCACCATTGCAAGCAGTTTGCTGAGAAACTGTAAGTAGCACATAAGGTGTTCTTTTTTCTTCCAGTCGCCGACGTCTTACGAAAAATATGCGCCGTGTGCTGGCTATTCTGCCCTTTAGGTGTTGCTTGATATCATAAGCAGAATGACATTCATAAGGAGAACGATACCCGGTAACAACACGATTTACTGGGCGATGGTGTGAGCTTATAAAGGTCGTAGATCATGTAAGCTTACGTTTTTTCCAGGATTCGCCCGGCTCTGGGGAATCCCCTGCAGTCTATTAGCTGCACTCGGGGAGCAAAGCGCGCATATCACCCGGATGGTCAAATTGCGGCAAAAATTAGCTATAGACCATACAAGGATATTTGCGCTTTTTTAGTCACGTAATGTCCTCGCGAAGTAATTAACAGTGTAACAGTTAATCTACTTCTTAAGCCACCCAAGTTCTTAGATTTTTCCACCGAGCTAAAACCTCGCTATGCTTCAGTTCCTTTATCATTTATGAATAAATACGTACTGGGCGGATTAACCTTACATTCAAAACCCGAACCCGGCAACGTAAGAAATTTACGACGCAGATTTCGGTACTCCTACATTTCGGTACTCCGTTGGCTGCATACAACAGTATGCAGCCAGTGTCGTTCCAATTTTTTGCTTAAAAATGATTTTAATCTGCTGATTTTAATTTGAGCTGGCCTGTGGTTTAACAAAGTAACGGTCGAAAACACAAGTAGTGATAGTGATGCTGTAAAAACGTCCTAACACAGTTAAACCTGCTCAAGCTCTTTTATAAAGAACTGTTGCGCACAATGTTTTACTTTCTGCCTCGCGTTCCAGATGCACAGCAGCTCGGCGTCGCCTACGGCGCTGCCTCGAGGGTTATGTATTTTTTGTTAGTATAAACCGCACCACCCGACAGCCCTGGCTAACCATAAGATTAGCCCGTTTGTTGCAGACTTGCAGTGCACTCCCCGAAAATCTCTATTTACACTGCTCTAAAAGTGCTCTTCTCTACGCGGGAGACTCTCTGCTGCAGATGTGAAACGGGAGCGAGACAAGGATATAAAGAGACTTTTTAACATAAAAAATCGAAAACATAAATCTGGGCAAAAATCTGGCATCAACTGACAATCTACAGCTCACGATACACCTGCGCCAACGTTGCAGTTCTGTACCATACGGCGCAATACGTTATCGCCAGGTAATCGCCTAAAAGACACGACGCGGCGGAATAGAGCGGAAGGGACGGATCGTTACACCTGTGATCAAATGTATACGATCCAATCGTAAAGCCACTGACTGCACTGCATCTGAACTGCTGGGACGGGGGCGTAAGTCCCTCTCATTGCCTGCCTGTTCCGGTCAGATCCGGCTCATTACGAACACGAAAACATTTTTGCGTCTTAAGTTGCCCATTGCTCCACCATTATCACGCACTCCAACTGCCATACATCCGGGTTGGCACTGCGTTAATACAGTATGGTGCGCGCGGGTCTGTTGTTCACTTGGACACGAGCATTGGTTCCTGAAAATCAAGGCGGAAATTTTGAATTTGGAAACTGTTGGGTTGGATTTTTTCCTTGGAAACTGTTGCTGTAAAGGGTGTGTGACTTGGAAGTGTTGGTTTCATAATAGGTTTTAGGTCGTTTTCTGCTTTCTTTTTTTAATTTTTTTACGACCAAAAATGATTTCAGAATTCAGATAAACTCTGTTTGGCATAAGACTTTTTCCGTGCTAATATAGCAGCTCGTGCTTACAAGGGGCGGCAGACTTGAAAGCTCCCCAGAGGCATATAATCTTGGATCTTACCATTAGCGACAGGTCACAGCACCATACGTTCTACGACCTTTATCAGCTCACCTCACCGCACCGAATTTACTGAATCGTGTTTATAAGGGTGTTATTCAGCTTTCGATATCAAGCAATAATCCCTTAAACCGCAGATAACCACAACGCAAATGCATTCTAGTTTCTATTCCTCAGACGTCAATGATTTTATGAGGTAACTAAAAGCACCATGCTTTTCTGATAGCTTTAGTAGTTTCCGAGTATTCTGCATACACGTTGCCAAATCTTTTCACCATCACAATCCTACTTAATTTGTACGTGAGCCAAGTATTTGATGTCGCCTTGGAAAGAAACTGCGTTTCTTAAATCGAAAGCAGAATTGCTGGCTCGCAGAGATTATTGGCATTACTAAGCTATTCGAGAAGCTTACGCAGTCAGTTATACACGTATGCGGCAAAAATAATAAATATTATAAAGTTTTTGTCGAGTCTGCGCTATTAGGAGTATACTATAAAGTAACAATTGCTTTGTATAGTTCCTACGAAAAACAACTTCCCGTAGAAGTATATTATATTGCGAGTGTTTGCATCTGTTGTGACTTTCGTACAATTTAACCGGAATGCGGACTTTCCGTAAATTTCTGTTAACATTAGCAGCATAACTAAGACAACGAGCTACGACGATTATTGCTTGTGCGATTATTCTTCCGAACAACGGTATTTTATTGCTTCGCACTGGGATGACCTTCAGTGGTGAATAACCAGCGTTTGTGCCGTTGCCTTGCTTTTTAACGCATTTCTTTATACATTCTTATCGTGAAAACACGCCCGCGCTGACTTCTTTTACGATCTACATTCTTGTTCTAGCGGGCAGCAATATCCTCTACGTCATCTTTGTTAGTCCACCTTTTGTGTTAATCAAGGATTTTCTTCCAAAATATCTGATCCCGCCGTTCTGTATTGGCCAAAAGTTACTGCGTAACTTGTCCTATTATTGGCAGCGTGTTAGCCATTGGTCAGCGGTGTATAATCGGCACTATGCCCGGCCCACGGGAAGACCGTATAAATACCGCTGCTGGAGTGAATTTTCCATTCCTCTTTTAGTATAACTGCCATAGCCAAACGGTCTTTTGACACTTTGGTTGCAGTATTTTTGACCAAAATTTTTGCTTCCCACCATCCCTCCCTTACCAGATTCTGGAGAGGAGGTTTTCCCGGCTCACCTTTGGTTTAGCCGTTTTGTGTTCTCCGTTTTTATGTGTTGGTATTTTTTATGCTCAGAAATTAAAAGCCGAACGGGATAAAAACACTGAAGTGTCGTTGCGTACGCGAAACACTAATGTGCAGGTATTTATCGTCAACCGCATTCTACTGCAGTCGGTTGCATTCTACCGGTTTGTCATAATATGTGATGCATGTGAACCGAATTTGTGCGATTATTGCTTCGTTTGTTTATGAACAATATCATACAAAAAGATTCTCATGAGGCGTTAATTTGGTTATGATAACCGTTTCAATCGTTGTTTCTCTTTTTTGAGTATTTTGCCTCTGATCAATTGCTGGTCAACTATGGACGCCTCGATGCTTCATGAACGCGTTGTACCATATTATTCTCCGAGTCTGCAGAGCTGGTTGGTGGCCTTGGTTGCAGTCAGAAATTACCATCATTAGTTACCGAGTATTTGTATATTTCCGCCTCAAACGTATCACTATACCTCAAACGTTCTGCAGATCAGGCTTCTGTCGTAACTGTTGGAACTGGAATGCGCATGTACTTTCTATCGCGGTGTCTGTTCTGTTTTCGCTAGACCGAATGTTATAAAAGTGCTGATGATTATTCCATCGAAACACTACTAGTAGGTTTAGCGGTAATAACTATACAGCTGTCAGCAGGATACAATTTATCCAATAAAACGTTAAAAAAGGGCACGAGAACTGGGCAGTCACAGTGCATGCGAATTTTACGGCGATAATTCCGTACTCCGATTGCGTCAGACGAGCAAGTAGTCTATGACTCGCCTTCTGTATGACTACTACCTCCTCGTCTGCCTTGCGTTAGACGAGGAGGTAGTAGTCATTTGCTGAATGATGACAAGAAGAGGAACAAAATCCACTGCATTTATAGTAAATTAACAATAAACAAAGATATCTTATTTATGTGCGCTTAATGCAAACTTTTTTGAAGGCAGATTTGCGTCTAATGTTTTGAAGTCATAATAAATCAGCCACAACTTATCACTGAATCGCCGCTTGGGATCATCAGTGGCGGTTAAACGTTCTATTGGTTCTAATATTCTGAAAGTAAACGATCTTTATAAACCGACGATAGCCGAGTATACGAGGTATATTGCGTAGCAAGAACTTACTATAGGTAGAACTCTGACACTATAGTAAGTACTTGCGAATAGACAAGTCATTGCTTTCTCATTATTTTTGCTTAGGGGTATTTTTCATTGAATTGCAGCGTCGTTAGCTGGGCGTTACACCCAACGCCGCAGCAGTTGGTCTACTTCGTGTAAAATGCTTTCAGTACAGCGTTCAATTAAAACATAAAAAGCCGGCTCGTCGCATTGGAAAGCAAATCAGCAACCAGTCTCTTAAATTTTTTGCTGCAACGATTTAAGGTTTTGCGTATTGCACTTTGTAATTGCGCTGTACAGAGTTACTGAATTCATTTCAAAAAACATGGCCGCTTTAAGTTCTGTGGTTAATTTAGACACTATCGATTTGTATTCGGCAGCAGCATCCGTCCATGGCGATGGTAGTCTCATGGTGTCACCGCTGAGCATTTTGTACTGCTCCATGCTACTGTATCTCGGGGCGGGCGGCTCAACCAAAACCAATCTGGAATCCAGTTTCCATCTCGACTCGGCTTTCTACAGCGACCAATCAGCAGCGCTATCGGCATTCGCCGACGGATTATCCTACTTCCAAAACGCCACCGGGAATACCGCCGATGACTTCCTCATCATGTCGCTGGTCAATGAGATCTTTGTATCTAATGCGGTGTCGCTCAAACCAGACTACCAGAAATCAGTCGGCCAGTTGCAGTCCATTGCGCAGACCAAAGACTTCGTCAACAATCCCGAACAGGCGCGGCAGGACATCAACGCTGACGTGGCCAAGAACACCGCCAACACCATACAGAATTTACTCCCGCAGGGGACAATCACCCCACTAACGGTGCTCGTTCTGGTCAACACCCTGTACTTTAAATCAACGTGGATCAACAAGTTCACCGAATTCAGCACCGCTAAAGCCGCTTTCACCATGCTGAACGGCAATCCAGTGCAGGTGGACATGATGCACCAAGTGTCGTCGTTGCGCTATGTCGAAGACGACCAGCTGGATATTCAATGCGTGGAATTGCCGTTCTATTCGCAGAATGCCTCCATGTTGATTCTGCTGCCGCGAAAGACCGCCGGTTTGCGCAACCTCGAGAAAGCCCTGACGCAACAATCCTTGCAAGCACTGTCGCAAAAAGCCAGTGTGGCGAGAGTGGACTTGTCGCTGCCGAAATTCACCTTTACCTCCAATTATAACCTAATCCCGATGCTGAAGAAGATTGGCGTCAGTGAAGCACTTGATAAGCTGAAAGCCAATTTTACCGCGATGGTCACCGGCAATCAGCAGTTATATGTCAGCGATGGTATTCATCAGACGTTCATCAGTAAGCATTATGCAACATAAAGCAATAATTGATTAATAATGCAATAATTGATTTCGCTATCAGGATATTAATAATGACCTTTCACAGGTGTGGATGAAAAGGGCACCGAAGCTTCGGCGGCAACGGCTATTGTTGTTTCAACCACCAGTGTTCAAATCGGAACTCCGGTGTCGTTCAAAGCGGACCACCCGTTCCTGTTCCTGATTCGAAATAATCCTTCAAAGGCCATTATGTTTATAGGAAGGGTGGAGTCATTTTAAACGACACAAGCATTAAGAATTTAATTAATTTTTCTAACGAAATTAAGAGTGCCACCTTCATATAGAATTTTAGATTACTATGCCACCGCGTACGTTGATTCTGAACACTGGCCGGTGGAAATGTACGAGGTATTTTGGAATTTGAAATCTGGTCTAATAATAAATTTTTTTGCAAAACTCTGTTCAACGTACAGCTTACATTATGCACAGTATCAACAAGCCGCGTAATACTGTGGCTATCAGGCAGCGTAAACAGTTACGGAAGTCACAATAAATGGATTACGATTGACCTTCACCTAGAAATACACGTTATTGCCTTCCCGCTTGTGCTCACAATTAATTAATAAGTCTGATTTAATAAACCCAGCTGACGCCACTGGTTATCGAATTTCTTTCCCTAACCTCAGATTAATTTCAAATTATTATCATTACTGTTTGACGTAACACCAATGCCGCAGTGATACGATAGCTCATTCTTGCAATGTACGGCAGACTGCAGCAAGTTCCCAAGAGATATATAAACTTTGGGTATTCCACCATACGATCTACGACCTTCGTAAAGCCTGTTTCTCCGCATTGAATTCCGTGAATGGGGGTTCCGTGAATAAATGTTCTTATGGGCATATATCGCTCAACTTCCGTCTTCGGCGGTCTTCCGATACCAAACTATACGCGTACCCTTCAAAAGACAGGGTAACCGCAAGGGTTTTTGTCCTAAGGCATCAGCGATTTCAACGGAAAAGATCAGACTCTTTTGATAATTTATGCAGTTTTTGAATAGTCTGCTTGAAACGTTTTCAAATGTACCTTGGAACCCTTACAGTCCTATATTACACGCGAGCCGAGGATTACAATTTTGTCTACGACAATCTAAATTGGATGCATTTTGTCTTAGATCTCATAAAGGATAACATGTTTCTTATCCAAAGCTCGTCGATTTTTCCTCCTTTTTCTGATACATTCGTTGTTGGTTTCAGTTCCGAAATTTGCACGGCGCAAGTGTTCCGCATGAGTCTGTGCGCAGTTGCGTGTTTCGCGTTTAGGTGTTACAGTTGCGTCTTGCGGGGGTCATTTGGTCCTGACAATTAAACTGCCGGTCGCGAACCGATTGTAACAACTTTTTTTGAAGTCCACTGTTGTATGATGCTGCATTCTCAAAATGCTTACAACGTCAAAAGCACCACTGCTGCCTCGCAGAGAAATACCGGTATCGCAGAGAAATATCACTACGTTACCGACGAGTAGCCTAACCGTGTGAATATAAGCCGAACTGGACAAAAACAAATAATAACCAGTTATCAATTTTCGTCTAAACTTACATTTTTTCTATATTAGGGTACTAATAACTGTACCGTATACTGCATCCGCATACCGCGCGTGTCTTGAATTCGACTTCCTCACCAGTCAGTTGTGTATAACTGTTGTGCAGTTTAACCGGAATGCGAATTTTCCGTTAACGTTCTGCTGAAATGTCCACCATAAAAAAAGCAACTAATGTTTTTGAAAAACGCTATTTGAATGCTTTGATCTTTGTTAGTCCAGCTTTCTTTCTTGTTAATTTTGCTATGATAACCGCCATTTTCGTTTTTCCAACTCTGACCAGTTTTACTTGTTAACTACTGTATATTGCAATTGATGTTTCGATGCTAAATAAATGTGCTGTTCCATATTATTCCCAGAGTCTGCAGCTCTGGACGGTGGTCTTGGCAGCAGCATTCTACAATGCTTCAGAAACTATTATCGTATATTGAGGTATCCCGTAGTAATGTTCTAGTTCCGACTTGAGCGTAACACTGCACCGCAGCTAGTGCACGCGAAACTTTCAAGGTCACTAATCTTAATGAAACCAGCGGCAGCCTAGTCAACGCGCGTCGTAACCGTTTGTGGTCCTAACGCTTCTTGCGATAAGCGTCGTTATTTGCCGACGCCGGCACATACCTTCTCCTACGCCGACTCCTACTGTCAACTCACAAAATCCGTATTCTTTTTAGTGTCCCTTTTGTTGACGTTTGTACTCTGTACAATACACTGTGCTCTTGAACAAAATTAATCACATGTCGAATGCGGCGCTCTACTGTCGATAAAGCCTTAATCGAGCTCGCACATGTAGGCAACAGTAATCGGTGATCAGCCTTATTTCGTACTCTAGCTGATGGGAAGCACGTGCATGTGCCCTTTACCGTTTTTCATGTGCCGCCTACAGACAGGTACAGATAGGTGCTGATGTATGTATATTCCATCAAACCTGACTAGGTTTAGCTATCCGTAGTGACTGCTACATAAGTATCTATAGGCAGCCTCAATCCGATGAAGCGGGTACGCATGCGGAGTTAGCGAAGATACCGTACTTGCGGTCATTATACGTAGAAGAGCAAAAGAAATGCGGATCGGTAGTCTGTGAATCGGAAGCGTCTGGTTTATCTTATCTGCGTTTATGCGCAAACTTTGAAGAAGGTCTGCGTTAACTTTTTGCGACCTTATTTCATCCATTATAGCCCAAACCGGATGGTGTGTACACAAACGGTTTACACGCCAAGGTAAAAAAATTGTTTGGCTACAAAACGGCAGAAAATAATACAAAAAAGTGTTTCGGGGCTCGCGAAACCGAACGTCCTCATGCATGCACTAATGTACACGAATGTACAATGAATGTACCATGTACTGTACCGCTTCGCTTTCCTTGAAAGGCTCAACGAGTGACTGTGGGGCGTCAACGGGTTAATATTAGCCAGCGGCTATGCCAACCCTGCATTCCTTCCTAATTTTCGATTGTTTACACAGTTTTTCTTTATTTTAATTTGTCATTCTCCAGTGGCAAACCACGGGCCTGTACACTACAGACTAAAAACGCTGATCCCCAGTGGCGGTTAGGCCTGCTACTTTCTTCAAGATTCTGAAAAGTAAGTGATCACCAGACGACAGTCGATAGAGATGTCATTGCCTTCTGATATATTTTCGCTTCAGGGTATTTTTCCACTGATTGCGTCCGTGTTACAGCCAATGCAACAGCAGTTTTTCTCTCTCACGATAAAAAGCTTCTGACGTTACGTTCATTTAAACAACATTTTTGCTGCAACAAGTGCATTCGAGCTCTGTGATTTCGCTGTACAGAGTCTACAGACAGAGTTTCTGCATTATTTTATCGTCAGCAACCATGGCAGCTTTGAGCCCTGTTGTTAATCTGGACACCATTGATTTGTATGCAGCAGCGGCATCCGTCCATGGCGATGGCAGTCTGATGGTGTCGCCATTGAGTATCCTGTACTGCTCCATGCTACTGTATCTCGGGGCAGGTGGCTCAACCAAAACCAACCTGGAATCCAGTTTCCATCTCGACTCGGCTTTCTACAGCGACCAATCCGCTGCCTTATCGGCTTTCGCCAACGGACTATCCTATTTCCAGAACGCCACCGGGAATACGCCCGATGACTTTCTCATCATGTCGCTAGTTAACGAGATTTTCGTATCCAACGTGGTGTCGCTCAAACCAGACTACCAGAAGTCGGTCAGCCAACTGCAGTCCATTGCGCAGACAAAAGACTTCGTCAACAATCCCGAACAAGCGCGGCAAGACATCAACGCTGACGTGGCCAAGAACACGGCCTACACCATACAGAATTTACTCCCGCAGGGGACGATCACCCCACAAACGGTGCTCGTTCTAGTCAACACGCTCTACTTTAAATCAACATGGACCAACAAGTTCACCGAGTCCAGCACCGCGAAAGCTCCGTTTACGATGTTGAATGGCAATGCAGTGCAGGTGGACATGATGCACCAAACGTCATCGTTGCGTTATGTCGAAGACGACCAGCTGGATATCCAGTGCGTGGAACTGCCGTTCTACTCGCAAAATGCCTCCATGCTGATTCTGCTGCCGCGGAAAGCAGCCGGTCTGCGCAATCTCGAGAAAGCTTTGACGCAGCAATCCTTGCAAGCGTTGTCGCAAAAAGCCAGTTTGACGAGAGTTGATTTGTCGTTGCCGAAATTCACGTTTTCCTCCAATTATAACCTAATCCCAATGCTGCAGAAGATTGGAGTCAGTGATGCGCTTGACAAACTGAAAGCTAATTTTACCGCTATGGTCACCGGCAATCAGCAGTTATATGTCAGCGATGGTGTTCATCAAACCTTTATCAGTAAGTGTTCGATACAGTGATTAATTTCGCTCACATAAAGTAAATAATGTGTTTTTAAAGGCGTGGACGAAAAGGGCACCGAGGCTTCCGCGGCAACGGCCATTGTTATTACAGCGTTGAGCATTCAAGCAGGAACACCGGTGGTGTTCAAAGCTGATCATCCTTTCTTGTTCTTGATTCGTAATAATCCCTCGAAGGCTATTATGTTTATAGGAAGAGTAGAGTCATTTTAAACCATACCGAAAATGTGTGTGCATGAAAATAATTATGCAGCAATTTGTTATGTATTTCGTACCAGTTCTACCGTACGAGCGTACCAGTTCTACTATGCGTTTTTCTGTACGGGTCTGTATCAATACGTGCCACGCCATGCAGTAACGCACAGTACTGAGTGTACCGCAAAAACGATGTGAAAAGCAGATGGATTCGCCGACATTTCAAAGCACATAATGAAACATAATGGATTCGGTTTGATGTAAACGTTAACCCCTTTGAATTCTGGTAATCATAATTTTTTCACAGTCGGTAAGTCTGTTACAGAAACCTACGCTGACTGATGGCTAGTAGTCGAAGTCGTTTAGCTAAATTATAAGGTTTGTAGCTCAGCTGCTTGCCGTAATGTGGCTACCCGGGTGACGTAAACGATCGTGATTCCAGGATACCTATAGATATTAGGTTGTAGGAAGTTCCCCAGAGACGTGTAAGTCTTGGGAAAGAGCGCCCGCATGTACGATCTACGACCTTTGGAAGCTCACCTCACTGCATTAAATTCAGTGAATCGTATTCTTAAGGGTGTCGTTTTGTTTATGATCTCAAGCAATACCTCATAAATGGCAGAATAGGCAGGTCCCGACGCTTATTATTCGTAAGACGTCAACGACTTGAATTAGAAAGAATACCCTATGTTATTTACCACTAGCAGTTTCTGTGTAGACTGCTGGCAGCGTTGAGAAATGTTTTTACCGGTACAATCCTATCTTGCACGCGAGACAAGGATTATCATGCAGCCTTCCCAAAATACTTATAAAATCAAAAGCGGAATTGGCTCTTACAGAATTATTGGCATTTTTAAGGTATCCACGTGAGGCATATACATCTGATAAATGAAACACTTATATGGTGAAACATAATTTTCACTAAATTTTAAGATTTTTCATTATGAATTTAGTACTAACTGATTTTGATTTTCTATAAAAGATACCTTGTGTGCATCTCAAAGGTCTTCAGTGGTGTGTTTGGACGCACATTTTACCGCAGTATAAACTTCCCTTGAAATTCTGCCAAAATGGCCAATATAACAAAGACAGCCAATGCCTCTCAACAGCGTTATTTGGTTGCACCGCACTGGGATGACCTTCAATCGTGGATCACCAGCATTTGTGCCACTGCCTTGCTGTTGAATGCGTTTCTTCTATACATCCTTGTAGCGAAAATTCGCCCATGGACATCTTTCACCGTTTATATCGTGGTGCTGGCATGCAGCAACGTTCTCTATGTTATCTCGTTTAGTCCAGCTTTCCTGTTAATTAAGGATTTCCTTCCACCGCATTTGACCTTATCATTCTGCGTTGTCTACGCATTAATCCGTCAACCGGTCGGTTGCATTCTGCCGGTTTGTCATATGCTAATGTGTTTGAACCGAATCTGCGCAATTATTGCTCCGTTCTTTTACAAACGGTATCATACAAGAAGATTTTCATGGGGCGTTAATTTGACTGTGGTTGGCGTATCAATCGTTTTCACCTTTCCGGCTCTGATCAATTACCTGGTCAACTATATGGACGCCTCGATGCTTAATAAATGCGCCGTGCCGTTTTACTCCCCGAGTCTGCAGAGCTGGACGGTGGCTGTGGCCGCAGTATTCTACAATGCTCCAGAAGTCATCATCGTGTTGAGTTATCCGGTTTTCTTGTATTTCCGTTTGAAACGTAACACTGTCACCGTATCCAGTGCCAGTGAAACTTCCAAAGCCACCAAAACGCAAGGAAACCATCGGTTGCCAGCTCAGCGAGTATCGCGACCGTTTGTGGTTTTAACGCTTCTGACGATCAGTGTCGTTATTTGCTGGACACCGGCAAATATGTTCTACTTGGTCAAGTCACAAAATCCAACGTTCTATTTTGTAACAATCTTGTTGAAGTTCATACACTGCGCTTTGGATCCAGTTCTGCTGATTATGTCGATCGATGCCTTGAGAAATGCAGCGCTTTATTGTCGTTAGCCGAACTGATCGTCATGTTTATGGGCGTTTTGAGCATCAGTCTCTTCGTGTACTGTGGAGACCGGGCTTCTGCTGCATTTGACTAGCGCGCGCGCGTACCCGGTTGGCTCCGCTTATTTGGTTTTATCTAATCCAGTAACCATTGGTTCCACATCTTCGTTGCTAATCGACGAGTAATCGTAGTAATTTCTGTTTCTTCAAGTAATTGGGTTAAGGTTTAAGGTTTAATTGTTTAACGTCCGCACACAATCTGGGCTTTGACCCAATCCGGGGCAGCTGGCCCCGGCCCCGGCAGCAGACACGTCATACAGAACAAAAAATAACAAGATCAAAACAGCAGCAGGCTTAAAATTCCACAAGTATTTACATTTTCAAGAGGGACACATGCTCAGAGTGGTAAAACTTTTTCAATGACACAACGGTTTTCCAATCAACGCGATCTAAAGCTTCTCTAAATCTACCAAGACTCTGATACGCTTCTGCTGGAATCAGCAGGTCATTCCAAATTCTCGCCATCCGATAGGCAAACGATCTGTCGGATGGAGGCAGTTTGTGGCCGCAGAAGCTTGATCCTGTGGGAAGAATCGGGCAGGGGTGCTTGACCATCCGTTGCTGAAGACGTGTTGCACCTGCAACACCAGAACGCACGGCAGTATCTTTAGAGAACAATTTGTTGCCATAAGGAATTAGGTTATACACAAACTTGTAAGTCAGTCGAAGGCTGTGCTTTAGATTTCGCAGTACGATCGGCTCCCACTCAAGTTCTTTTAATCTTCCAATATAGTTGTTGCTATCGCTTTTAAGATGCAACGACTTAATGAATCTTCTTTGAACGTTTTCAATATTATCGATTAGTCCCTTCTGTGTAGAGAATGTTACGGATGCACAGTAATCGGAGACAGAGAGAACAAGACTGGTGTACAATACACAGCGTGCCGACAAATCACGAGCTCGAAACAATGTATTTAGATATCTCAACCGCTTCAACATCCTGCCAGACACGTTTTCGGACTGCAACTTCCACTTGTGACTACGATCTAAATGAATGCCTAGATACTTGGCCGAATCTACTGTAGGCACACTCTTCCCGTTAACTTGATAGGACTGAGGTAGTTTTGCCCTGGATGAGAACTTGATACATGCCGACTTTGTTGCATTAAAGATCAAGTTATGATTACTTGCCCATTCGGTAACAGCATCAAGATCTTTCTGAAAAGCAATCTCATCTGCATCTGACTCAATAATCTTACACACCATCACGTCATCAGCAAATATCATCATATCACTACCACGGACACAAACATCAGGTAAATCACTGAGCATGCAGTTGAACACGGTTGGACCGATACGTGAACCCTTGGGAACCCCACTTGTGGCCGGTAGGAAAACAGACTTAACGTTATTCACAACAACCGACTGAGTCCTGTTTGACAAATAGTCGCTCAAAAGATTCACAACATCTGACGTAACATTCAGCCTGGATAACTTTTCAAGCAAAATTGAGTGGTCAACTTTATCAAATGCTTTGCTGCAGTCCAACAGCACAATATGAACACGCTTACCACGAGCCTTTGCATCTGCTAATTTCTGACAGAATAAAATTAGAAGCAGCTCAGTAGAGTGCCTTTCGCGATAAGCAAACTGTTTCTCCGTGAGATCACCAATTTGCGTTATTAGAATTTTACAAATACATTTTTCAAACAATTTTGATAGAGGATGCAACATCGTTATTGGTCGCCAGTTTGCAGGGGGTTTGGCTACCCCTAGCAGCTACTGTACTAGATTACAGAGTAGTAGCGGCAGCTTACAGTATATCTGATGAAAACCTTGTGTATTGGTGTTATTCGGGCTTTGCCCTGCCGAACGTTAGCTGAATAAAACATGGGCTACAAAAACAATTTTAATTTTTATGTAAGAGACATTTTGTTAGAATTATAGTACAGGGTTGCGTATAATACCTAACAATTATGCCTGGAAATGGAATGACTACTATGTTCAGTCAGTTAATTTGAAGATTTCTGTAGCTTTAAACGTGTGGTTGTGAGTGGTGGTAGCCGGAATAGAAACAGCTAGCGGTGGCAATATCACCTGTTGCGCCATCTAATCGAGGGGATGTTAGTAAGCAGGATTATTATTCAGAATATTCAGCTTGAAGACTTTATTTCAGCAGCACCAGATCAGATAGGTTCACCACTTCATGTAGACCTACATATCGCTTTCACATCCGAATGAGTAGCATATTCTTACCTACATTTTGTCGGCTGGACTAATCGCCAACTCTGGCAAGGTCACCTGTGGTAATCATGAAAATTTTGTTTTTAGATGTAGGAGTTACAATGCAGTTACGCAGTGCTGGGTGTTATCGACTCTCGTGCTAGAAAGATATCCAACTGCAGGAACTCCGAAAAGACAAGAAATAACAACACGCACCATAAAACCTATCCGATCCTGGCAAGGTCACCAAATGGATACTCTGCATCTTGAAGAATCTGGTAACTGTTTGTTTCTACTACAGATACGTAGCTACGTAGATATTGGTATCTGCGTACCTACAAATACGCGTATCTACTCATTTGGAACACCAGTTCACGCAATATACAATACAACAGAAATTACGGATGCATAAAAGTCTCTAGTTCGTTAGACGTCGACGATTTGCCCATTTGGGGAAGGAAGAAAACAAAGGTAGCAGTGGCATCTACCAATATGGCAATTGCCACTGACAGGTGCCGCTGTCACTTTTTATGTTATGTTGATACCGTTAGCGGTTTCTCATAAGTCTGCTTGTAATGTTGAGAAATGTTTATCAGTAGCATCTAAGCATCTTATCCCGCACGCGTGACAACGATTATGCTGCGACAGCCTCTAAACACAACCTATTAATAAGGAGAAAAGGCACTGGTTCACCGAGAATTATTGGCATTTTTAAGTTATCATCGGGATGCTTTCGTTTCCTACGGCACCCATGATATAAATTGCGGTAATATCAGGATGCTTTTAATGTGAAGCTACAGACATTCTGGAGCATAAGCATTCAGTAAAAGAGTAGCGTCTTTCTTGTTACACAGTACCAGAGAAATCTGCATTAGTTAGGCATGGATCTAACATGCGCATTTTAATATACCCGTACAAACTAGCTTTCATAGTTATACGAAATGGCCAACATAACAGAGGCAACCAATGTCTCCGAACAACGTTATTTGATCGCCTCCCATTGGGACGATTTGCAGTCCTGGATTGCAAGCATTTGTGGCGTTGCTTTGCTGTTGAACGCGTTTCTTCTGTACGTTCTTCTGCTAGAAATTCGCCCGTTGACGTCTTTTACCATTTATATTCTCGTCTTAGCATGCAGCAATATTCTCTACGTGACCTTTGTTAGTCCCGCTTTCTTGCTAATTAAGGATTTTCTACCTTCGTATTTAATCCCGTCATTCTGCGTTGTTTACATATTAATTCGTCAACCGATCGGGTGCATTCTACCAATTTGTCATTTGCTGATGTGCTTGAACCGAACCTGCGCGATTATTGCCCCATTTTTCTACAAACGATATCACACAGTAAAAATTTCATGGGGTATTAACCTGGCAATAGTAGCCGTTTCTGTCGTTTTTACCTTTCCGCCGTTGATAAACTATTTAGTTTACTACATGGATGATTCGATGCTGACCAAGTGCGATATTCCATTTTATTCGCCGGGTTTGCAGAACTGGACAGTGACTGTGTCCGCATTGTTTTACAATGCTCCAGAGGCTATCATCGTTTTTAGCTATCCGATATTTTTGTACTACCGGCTGAAACGCAACACTGTTACCGCACCCAATGGAAGCGAAATATTAAAAATCAGCAAATCGCAAGGAAACCAGCGACTGGCACCTCAACGGGCATCGCGACCGTTTGTGGTCTTAACGCTTCTTACGATAAGCGTAGTTATTTGTTGGACTCCGGCAAATATGTACTACTTAATCAACTCACAAAATCCAACGTTTTACTTTGTGACAATCCTGTTGAAGTTTGTACATTGTACTCTGGATCCAATATTGTTGATTATGTCGATTGACGCTTTGAGAAAGGCGGCGCTCCATTGTCGCTAATCGAACTGATTACACTTTTGAGACTAGTCGAAGAGCTGCAAAGATGTTTGGGAATTTTATCGACCAACAATTCTGGATCATCTGATTGGCTGAAAATACGTGCAAAGGCCCGTATTTTGTGGATATCGTCAAGTATCACCTTTAGCTGCCATAGCAGTGTTAGATATTTGTTTTCCCAATATATTTGTGAGTAGTCGCAAAACGCCACTACACAAATTTTGACAAAACGTACAATAAATATTATCTGACTTTATGCCACACTGCGTTTTAGCAGCCTTCCGAACGTTGGATAAAAAAAACAAGATTTCACCTTGCCATTTTACATTTATTTCCAGTTTCATCATGAAAACAAACATTTCTCGCGCATTTAAGGGAAGTGACCAGGTACATGGTAGTTTGGTTTTGCTCCCAAACATGGTTTTGCTCTGTTTTACGACGTTCTGTAGCCAGATGAACAGTATGCATTGGCGAGAAAACTGTTTCTGCGCGCAACATCCGGTTTAGGAGTTCTGGTTGTACGAAAATTCCAAAAAGTTTAAATGCTATCTGGTGTACCAAAAGTCTCATTATAAACCTATCTTTCTGCAATGTTCTTTATTTCTTTACCCTACCAGGTGATTGTATTAGGTTTTCATCCATTTCATAATTTAAGAAAATTTTAAAGGTCAACGCAGCTGGCACTAATGTCATTGTCACGGTGTCTAAACATACCAGCAGTACGCATACCGAGCTATTGGTTACAGCGAATTCCAACAGTTCCAGGTTATTGTACATACGTTTCTTTTATTACTTATTATTAGAATGACTCCACTCTTCCCATAAACATCACTGATTTGGATGGATTGTTGCGAATTATATATAAAAATGGATGATCTGCTTTGAAAACAACGGGTGGTGGCGGGGTTCCATTGAAACCGGAGGATGTAGACGTGAGCACTAGGGCGCTAGCTGCCGAGGCTTCCGTTCCCTTTTCGTCTACACCTATATAACAACGAAACATTACAATGGTAAAGGAAATGAATAAATTCGAGCATGAGCGTTTAAGTGCATATTACTGTGCTAATTCTGTAAGTAATAAATATGCATCCTTAAGTAATGATTGCGCGGAAGGAATGCACATTGATACGGTATGTACTGCGTACGAACTCTACGTAGTGATTGGTAATTGGTACGTAATCGTACAGAGACCATAATCATAGCTTTGGTGTATTATACTTATGAACGTCTGGTGGAAACCCGCAGAAACATATATTCTTGGAAATGATCCAGTACTGACGCCATTAATGATGCTGATGCCATTAACCATTCCCGATAAATCAGCCAACGTTCTATTGAAAACATCGCTCACTCCAACCGCCTGTAGGATCTTAACCAAATCATAATTCGCGGTGAATTTAAACTTGGGCAGGGACAGATCGACTCGTCGTTCTGTGGCTTTTTGTCCAAGTGACTGCAAAGATTGTTGTGTCAGTGCTTTCTCCAGTTTGCGCAGGCCGTTACTTTGTCGCGGTAAAAGAATCAGCATGGACGCATTAAACGAATGGAACGGCAGTTCAACGCATTGTATGTCCAGTTGGTCGTCTTCGGTATAATTGAAGGATGTAGTCTGGTGCATCATGTCGACCTGTACCGTACTGCCGTTTAATAGTGTAAACGGCGCTTTGCTTGTGGCACGTTCATTGAACTTATTGAGCCATGAACCTTTGAAATACAGGGTGTTCACCAAAACAATAACGGTAATGTTTGTAACAGAATTCTCTGGCAGCAAGTTTTGAGTTGTGTTGGCGGTATTACGCGCCACCTCGGCGTTAATTTCTTGCCGCGACTGATCCGGTTGGTCCAGAAAGTTTTTCGTCTGAGCGAGGGAATGTAGCGCGTTGATGGATTGCTGGTATTCGGATTTTAGTGTAACCGGCACAGGAACATTCATGGCATTCAGTGCTCGGTCAGCCACAAAAATCTCGTTCACTAAACTGGTGAGGAGAAAATTATCCTGAGTGTTTGTGGTGGCATTCTGGAAAAATGCCAGTCCATTAGAAAACATGGACAATGCGGCTGATCGATCGCTGTAAAACGCTGTATCAAAATGGAAGCTGGATTCCAGATTGGTCTTCGTCCGTTCTTCGGCTCCCAGATACAGCAGCATGGAGCAGTAGAGAATGCTTAACGGTGACACCATGAGACTGCCGTCACCATGGAGAGCGGCTGCGGCCGAATACAAATCGATGCTGTCCATATTGACCACTGAGCCTAATGTCGCCATGATGGGTATTTCTTGTACCTCTCTTGTAACCAACAACAGTATGGAGAAACAAAAAAACAATGGCAGGAGCCTTTAGAATGATGAGGTTCATAGCATTATAACGTTTGCAGTCGCAAAATATCAAGTTGCCCTTCGGCTACAGTCCTTAAAACAGCGCGTTGACCGACGCGTTTGACCGATGCGCAGTCACTTGTGCCTGCTTACGTATGTGGTGTACGATATGCTTAAGTTACTCGAGGTAGTTGTTTATTCCAATCAACGCACTTGGTACGACGTAATCATCGAGCGGTAAATTACTTTTTTGAACCCGACATCGGCAGTTACTTATGTCTAGACCGGATGTGCAATACATGTATGACCACCTTATGATGGAATAAGCTAAAAACTTGCACACTGACTATTGACTCAGATATTTTGTAACAACTTTCTCGCTTTGGCGTAAGTAATATTCAAGCCTAACGCTGACAAAAAATGGCTTGTGATTTTTATGAAGTTTGTTGCGGTTTTGTTAGAACGAGAAACACCGGTGAAATAACTAAGTAATCTAAAGAAAAATCATCGTAAAGATCATTGTCTCCTTGTAAATGGTTACATTTTTTAAACTTAATCATAACGGCGTAAACCAGTTTAACAACGTGTGCCTGCAGGTTGAAAACTTAAAACATGAAATCCTAAGTCAGGCAAAGCCAGTTTCTGGGTTGCCGCACCACTTTTAGTCCTTGAAGTATGAAAAGTGTAGAAGTATGTATTAGATTAATCGAACAACATTAACTGATTCAGCTTTAAAATCAATCGTTTTTGCAGCAATGGAAAATGAACTACACATGTACATAAACTAAGTACAACTAAGTACATAAGCAAATGGCAAGTACATGTAACTTACATGTACTTGTAAGTATGTCGCTAACATCGACACCGAAGTCTATTCTGAGATTTTCGTGGTAACTTTAACAAGGATCATCAAAATCTGATGCTGCACAGGTGTTCTTCCTAAGCTTTAACTAAACTAAATACTACCCTAGAAGGAAAGGCCATTTAATCATACTAGTAACAGTTTTACGGTGAGGATGAATACATGGGAATGGGAAATTTGGCGTCAAGAAAATTAGAACGATTCCACTCTTCCTATAAACATGGTCGCTTTCGAAGGATTATTGCGAATAATAAATAAAAATGGATGGTCAGCTTTGAACACGACAGCAGGTGGCGGATTCTGGGCGGATCCCGCGAGGCCGACGAGCGCACTGGCTGCCGCCGCCTCTGTACCTTTTTCATCTACACCTGCAAAAATAAAACATATCTTCGTTTTGCCAAAATGAGGTAAACGGCTTCAAACATACTTATAAACGTCTGATGAAAGCCACTGCTAACAAAAACCGGTGGGAAGGTGCCATCGCTGATCCCGTTGATCATTCCCGAAAGGTCTGATGTGCTCGCGCTAAAAACGTTGCTGAAACCCAGCGCTTTCAGGATTTTCACTAAATCAAAGCTCGCGCTGAATGTAAATTTTGGCAGAAATAGATCCACTCGGCGCTCCATGGCGCTTTGACCAAGTGATTGTAGATATTGTTGGTTCAGTGCTTTTTCTAGTTTGCGAAGACCATTGGTCTGCCGGGGTAGCAAGATCAGCATCGATGCATTTCGCGAATAGAACGGCAGTTCCACAAACTGGATGTCTAAATCGTTGTCTTCCGTGTAATTGGCTGAAAACAGCACTTGGTGCATGGTGTCCACCTGCGCAATCTGACCGTTCAACTGCGTGAAAGGCGCTTTGGTCGTCATCCAGTCTTCAAACATGGAGCTCCAGGTGGCCTTAAAATACAGCGTATTAACCAGTACAATAACGGTTTGCTCCGTGATAGATCCCGGTGGCAGGAGATTCTGAATAGTGTTAGCCGTGTTGCGCGCTACTTCTTGGTTAATCTCTTGCCGTGATTGATCCGGCTGACCTTTGAAGTCTTTTGTCTGCGCAATTGATTGTAAGGCCTGGACTGATTGTTGGTATTGGGTTCTCAGTGTGGCCTGATTGGAGACGAAGATCTCGTTGACAATGGTTGTTGTCAGGAAATTATCGTTGCTGTTAAGAGAGGCATTGGCGAAGTAGGGTAATCCGTTAACAAATGCGTTTAATGCCGCTGAACGATCGCTGTAAAAAACCTTGTTAAAATGTAAACTGGATTCCAGGTTGGTTTTCGTGGCTGTTTCCGCTCCAAGGTACAGCAGCATGGAACAGTACAAGATGCTTAACGGTGAGATCATCAAGTTTCCGTCGCCATGCACGGATGCTGCGGCGGAATACAGATCGATCGTGTCCGTATTGATTACTGAGCCCACGGCCGACATATTTTTTGATTATTTTGGCATGGGAATAAAAAAAATCGTTTGTGAAAAAGAACAGTGACCAAGTCGACAGATGCTTCGCAGCTGATTCCGAAATGTTACTTACAAGTTGGCCTGTATTTGTTGCAGCATTTTTGTGGGCCGCATCGAAAGTGGCCGCCGGTTGTTGTTGCAGCATGTTCGTTGACTTAAATTAATAGCACTACTGTGTACGTGCTGATAACTCTGCTTAGTACCTACTCTAGGGTAGTTATGCACTCGTATGAAGTACGCATTGACTTTGCATCGTGCATAATTCGGCGACTGTTTTTGTACGTACGAGTAGTTTGTATGTTTCTACAAATTACTCATATTAAACAATTGCTGACTGTGATTACGACCACTTCAATTCTACCCCAACAACGAATTATAGTACGTACAGTAACTACGTTCAATACAAGACCAACGTAGCAGTGATGAGAAATGAGTCCAGATCTATAAAACATTTTAACGGAATACAGCCCGTCACTTGGATGGACGTTTTATTCAGTAATAGCCCGTTCTGATCGTGATAAAAGAAGGTCGGCGCTAACAGAAATCCGTTAAATTAGTTAAAATAAACATCCACGTAAGTATTAAAGGTGCTGTAGGAACATAACCATCAGTATTAAGTTATAATATACGGACTGTTGGATCATCGCTACTATCTTTTTCGTTTTAGTTGGCTGACGTCAAGGCATGCATAAAATGGCAACCTAGAATAGTAAATAGTACTAAATACGTAAAAGGCGAAATAAATTCCTAACGGTGTATGCGCTAGAATTTGCAGGAGGCTACAGCGACCTGTCTCAGGGCATCGATCGAAACAGCAAGTAAGACCGGGTCCAGTGCAGAGTGAATCAGTTTCAGTAACGTCGAAACAAGAAAAAATGTAGGATTCTGTGAGCCGATCCAATAGTAAACGTTAGCCGGTGTCCAGCACAATACGACACTTACAGTCAGGAGTGTAAGAACAGTCACTGACCGCGATTCTCGCCGTCGGGATGGCCGTTCGCTGCCCTGTGGTCGGCTAATTTTGGAGGTCTCCTTTGGTCCATCACTGACATGGTTTGGACGGACCGAGCTGCGCTTAATGTAGAAGGATAAGAACATGGGATAGCTCAGAATAATGACAATTTCCGGGATATTGTACGATACGATTCCCAGAGCCAACGCCCAATTCTGCAAATTCCGTGAAGGAAATCGGATGGAGCATTGGACATTGGCTGAAGGATTCATGTAGTACATGGCGTACGTAATCACTGCCGGAAAGGTAAACGCAAGACAGAATACAATCATCGACAAATTTATTCCCCATGCCAATTTATTGGTATGGTAGCGCTTATAGATGAATGGAGCTATTACCGCAAAGATTCGGTTTAAACACATCAGCATATGGCACACTGGCAGTACACATCCGATGGGAATGCGGATCATCAGAAACACCGTACAGAATGATGATACCAGGCGGCTTGGCAGGATATCTTTAACCAAGAGAAATACCGAACTTTGGATGCAGGCATTTATGATATTACATGACAATTAACGAGTTAATTGATGTTAATGTTAGCTGGAGGACATGCGCTCCCGCTCTTTCTCCTTTCGCCGTGTGTGGCGAGTTACGTGAGTCTGTTGGTGGCGCTGCGCGTCGCCGTGGCGCTTAGATCAAAGCGACCGCCGTCATGCACGGGCATGCCGTTTGCACTTGGCACTGTTCGTACGCTCGCATTGCATCTTTCTGCAGTTCTCATTGCTGTCTGTTTTGCTCATTCGATCGTGTGCGCGCGAGTGATCTGGCTGCACCTTCCTCACACGGCAAGGTAGGCCTTCAACAATGGCCGCACCTTCCTCGGACGGCAGACAGGCCCCCACCAACGGCGGCGCCCTCCTCCGACGGCAAGCAGGCCACCAAAGACGGCTGCACCTTCCTCGCACGGCAAGGTAGGCTTTCAACCATGGCCGCACCTTTCTCGGACGGCAGACAGGCCCCCACCAACGGCGGCGCCCTCCTCCGACGGCAAGCAGGCCACCAAAGACGGCTGCACCTTCCTCGCACGGCAAGGTAGGCCTTCAACCATGGCCGCACCTTCCTCGGACGGCAGACAGGCCCACACCAACGGCGGCGCCCTCCTCCGACGGCAAGCAGGCCACCAAAGACGGCTGCACCTTCCTCGCACGGCAAGGTAGGCCTTCAACAATGGCCGTACCTTCCTCGGACGGCAGACAGGCCCCCACCAACGGCGGCGCCCTCCTCCGACGGCAAGCAGGCCACCAAAGACGGCTGCACCTTCCTCACACGGCAAGGTAGGCCTTCAACCATGGCCGCACCTTCCTCGGACGGCAGACAGGCCCCCACCAACGGCGGCGCCCTCCTTCGACGGCAAGCAGGCCACCAAACGGCTGCACCTTCCTCGCACGGCAAGGTAGGCCTTCAACCATGGCGGCACCTTCCTTGGACGGCAGACAGGCCCACACCAACGGCGGCGCCCTCCTCCGACGGCAAGCAGGCCACCAAAGACGGCTGCACCTTCCTCACACGGCAAGGTAGTCTTTCAACAATGGCCGCACCTTCCTCGGACGGCAGACAGGCCCCCACCAACGGCGGCGCCCTCCTCCGACGGCAAGCAGGCCACCAAAGACGGCTGCACCTCCCTCGCACAGCAGACAGGCCCCTCCAACCGCAACGTTGTCTTTGGACCGCAAGCAGGTGCACCAACAACGGCCGCGCCTTGCTCGAACAGAAAGGCAAGCCACCAATCATGGCCGCACCTAACTCTGGCAGACAGCAAGCTAGCAGCGACCGCTGAACCCACTTCTGACGGCAAAGCAGGCCTCCAGCTACGGCTGCACCTTTCTCGGACGGAAGTCAGACATCTAACAACGGCGGCCTCTTCCTCCGAAGGCAAGCAGGCCCACCAACGAAGGCGGCAGCTTCCTTAGGACGGCAGTCAGGCACCCTTGCAACGGCGGCGCCCTCCTCCGACGGCAGCAGGCCCACCAACGTCGGCCGTACCTTCCTCGGACGGAAGTCAGACCACTAATAACGCGGCGTCCTCCTTCGACGGCACGCAGGCCCACCAAGGAAGGCTTGGAATTCAATCTGGCCTCCTAGCAAGGGCGGCACCCTCCGCCGTTGATAAACACGCATACCAGCGACGGCTGTACCTTCCTCGAACGGAAAGGCAAGCCACCAATTATGGCCGCATCTAACTCTGGCACACAGCAAGCCAGCAGCTACGGCTGCACCCAGTTCTGACGGTAAAGCAGGCCTCCAGCTACGGTTTCCCTCCCAAACGATGGCTTGTAAGCTAACTTGACGGCTGCACCACTTCGGACGGCAGGGCAGGTATAACTATGGCCGCACTCACCTGCGACGGAAAGTCAAGCCGTCTGCGACGACTGCCCCTGCTCGGACTGTAAGGCTGATACAACTAAGGCCGCACCACCTCCGACTGCAAGGCAAGCCAACAGCGGGGGCTGCACCTACTGCGGAAGGAAAAGGAGGCCTCTAGCTACGGCTGTGCCCACGTCAGAGGGCAAGGCAGGCCTCGAACCACGGCCACCTCCGACGGCCAGACGCTACCTGCCATTACGGCCGCTTTGTATCCAATGTAAGGTAGGCCTTCAACGACAACCACCTATCTTTCGCGACACGGCGTTCCCCCAGCTACGCTCGCACCTACTTCCAACGGCAAGGCCAGCCAACAGCGACGGCCACACTTATCTCGGGCGGCAGGTTATCACCTATAGCCACACCGACAAAAAATACGGGTCTCTAACGACAACTGCACCATGTCTGCCGGCAAGCAGGACCGGTTCCGATCTCTGGCACCTACAGCTAACCTCCGTCCTGGACGGTGTTATTGCCAACGCGAAGTTTGCTCACCCACTCTTGGGAACTACAACGACGAACCAATTCGGGACGGTTACCGGATTACACTGCGCTAGCGATGCATACCTAACCTGCATAACAGCGAATTTCACCATTGAAAGACTACATTGTGCTGCCATACCGCGACAGGATCAGCACACACTGCTTCCGCAACGGCGACGCAACGACGCCTGCCCTGGCGAGATACACATAGCCGAATTTCGCGCTCTCCCAATGGAATTCAGACTCTGCACCAAATACCTCCGTGGAACCATTCCAACTGCTGCATCAGTCCTTATACTATCAATCCCTATACTGGGTTGTTTGGGGTTTTGTTTGGGGCCTTCGGTTGCGCAGGGCACTGGTCGCTCTCTTCCGCCGACCCGGTCGGCCGGCTTCTCGCTGACCCACGGTCACCGCACGCAGCCGATCACCGAGAGCACCAGCCTCCCAGCAGCCGGGGCTCCAGCGCCCCCAGTGGATTCCGGAAGCGGTAACATTAAATGACAATTAACGAGTTAATTGATGTTAATGTTAGCTGGAGGACATGCGCTCCCGCTCTTTCTCCTTTCGCCGTGTGTGGCGAGTTACGTGAGTCTGTTGGTGGCGCTGCGCGTCGCCGTGGCGCTTAGATCAAAGCGACCGCCGTCATGCACGGGCATGCCGTTTGCACTTGGCACTGTTCGTACGCTCGCATTGCATCTTTCTGCAGTTCTCATTGCTGTCTGTTTTGCTCATTCGATCGTGTGCGCGCGAGTGATCTGTTCTTTTTACCACCCGCCACACCCTGCTGTTTTCTTCTGCTGTTATTTCGCACTTGCTCAATAAAGGGGCCTTCGGTTGCGCAGGGCACTGGTCGCTCTCTTCCGCCGACCCGGTCGGCCGGCTTCTCGCTGACCCACGGTCACCGCACGCAGCCGATCACCGAGAGCACCAGCCTCCCAGCAGCCGGGGCTCCAGCGCCCCCCAGTGGATTCCGGAAGCGGTAACATTAACCGTAGTTAAGATGAACATGTAGACGGTAAAGGATGTCCATGGACGAACTCGAGCGGCTAAGAGGTACATGAGCCAACAGTTCAATAAACCAGCGATGACACATATGACCGTCGTCCATGACTGCAATGAATCCCAACGCGACGCAACCATGCTGACATTTGCAAGAAAAGTGGCGTTGATTGTTTCGTTTGAGAAATTCATGGCTTGTGAATCAGTAATGGAGGAGAAGACGCCAAATTCGAGTGACAATTTTGCAGTGCAGTATGTTTAAAAACATTTAACGGAAAGGTAGGTGACCGGGTGTTTTGTAGGTTGTGATGAATTCATCTACATTCCTTTCCAAGAAGGTGTGCAGACGCAAGTCGCATCTAGAGCTTTTAGAAAGATTGGTTGTATCACATGTTTGCATGCCATCACCAGATTATTCTGTAGCAGCATTGGGAGAAGGTAAGTACTTGAAGGGCACCCACGCATACCGTTGTCACAGCGGATTTTCTGATTCTTTGAAAGCGACAGGGTCGATGGGTCTTCCTTGGCGTCATTTTAACCCTCGTGGGCGAATCGGTTGCCGAAACACATAGATGTTGACGTTGTACTGGATGTACTGCAGCTGCTCACGCAAATTTTGTAGCAGAGTGTTTTTACGGCAGAAATGACCTCAGCGTCTGCATACACGACGTGTTTCAATCGTACATGCGTGCGGTATACACGCTGCCCGCCCTTTTTGTCCCACAAACCCACTCTGTGGTCTAATCAAGCTATGCGAATGATTGTAGTAGGACGGCAGTTTGATTTAATATTATTCTGGTAATCTGCAACGACATTCACGACTATAAATTCCGCTTATAAACCGGTGCGCAATTAAGTTGTTTCCATTACCATATGATACAAATATACGATATAAAATATATAAATATTTTATTATTATATACATATTTTATCGTATGCTTTACTTTGTAATTATTATAGATGTGCAATGAATTCAAAAACTAATACACTGCAGCGACTGTATTTGCGAAAATATTCTTGCTATTGTAAAGAAAAGGCAAGCCAGAAAGTTAATTCATTACTAGAGAGCAGCCAGCAGAAGGTTTAATAAAATTAATGTGAGCTTACTGTACTTGAGCGTAGAATACCGGCTTATCTGGTGATTCTTTGTACGTTAAAGGTTGTAGTACAGTTTTTTTAAATGGCTATTCTGCATGGCTACTTGGAAAAATGGACATACTCCAAAAACGCTTCGGAAAAAACTCGTTTTAATTATTCTACATGAACGATTCCTGTTATACCTACTGGCATGGGCATGCAAATTATTCTAAAAGTTTTCGCAAAAGTAGAAGGTAAGCGTTTCTTGCGAGCATATAAACTGCGAGAAGTAAATTACGACCGGTATGGACAGATTCGAGCAATAATACCTGAACAGTCCCTGCGTTAGTGTGCATTTTGTTCGCCCACGAGCGGTTCGAAAGACGCATACACGCAGAAATGCATGGAGCTTTTCGAAGAAACCCATGACGATGCCTAGGTGATCATGTTAAAGGGGTGCGTGGATGACCTTCCGCCTTTCAGGAAATCAAAAGCATAAGATGCGGTACTTTCAGCAAATTAATAATGGCCGAATGTATGTCGTACTATACGATAAATCATGATAACCAGAAGCATCTGGCGATACTTACCAAATATCTTATTAGATAATATATAAATATGTATAATGGCAGAGGACAGATTCCATTCGAAAGCTGATAATAAACCACAAAAAATAAATGCGTTCGGAAGTAATAGTATATCCGACAGCATTGCATTCAACATTGTACTGTAGGTTCTTAGTACGCTTTACCTCTACTACCCTCCTCGGCGCTGGACTTCAGCGGTCTTTATGTGCCTTAAATCGTTCTGCACTACAGCATAAACCAACAGAAAAAAGCCAGCAGAGTACTGCAATGGCTTTGACTACTCGTGGTTTATATTTCTTTTTATATGTTTGTAGTGAGGGCCCTTTCGTTGCCCCTTAGGGGATACTTATGTACTTAAGTGCTTAAGTGGTTAAGTTCGATATTTAAGTACTTCACTATCGAACAAAAACTATTTAAGTAAATTACTGAAAGCGCGATTAATATGGTACCAGCAAACTGTCCGAAGCTCTAAGCTAAGCTTTGCTTATCCAGTCCTCTGATTTTCTTCGTGGCTGGATCACTTTGAGTTTTCTCTAGCCCTACTCGTAGATGAAAAATTCGCACTCGTTGTTTCATGTTTTACCTAACGTACGCGATGCCCGGCACAGGAGCGACAGCGGCCGGATATGAAAGTGGTGCTACTTCACCCAACGGCTACAATTCGCTGTTACAGAGCGGTCCACAAGGCATTTTCCATGCAGCGCGCTGCACGGGTAGCTGCTAATCCGGTACGCTTCTGCCACTGGTATGGAACGTTTGCTTTCATTATGCTTTTTTATAAAACTTCTTGTTTGGAAATCAAGATACGAGAGTGACGAGTTTATGGAAGCATAACGTAACTTTACATTATAAAATGCAAGCGACATATATCTGATAAAAATCGAAGTTATTAATAAGGCATAAGGCATACTGCGTAGTACTGATACGGTGCAACCACTGCAATGGATAGGACACGGAAAAATCGGTGACGCACTTCGCGGTCACCCAAAAACAGTATATTGTCTCATCTTTGACGAGCACTGAACTGGTTATTTGCCAAATTAACCCTCGTAGCGAAATAGCTCGGATGTCTTCCTGCAGGTACGGCTTACCGTATGTATGTGGTTTAATCATAAGCCGGTATTAATCTGAATATCCCGGTAATTCTTGCCAGAAAGCAGCTGGAAAAACATTCAGGCGACATTTGTTTCTTAACTCATAACTGTTTCATAACTGCATGTGCCCGAATTTGGTACCATGTACCGGCCCACTTCCATTAATTTGAATTTACCATAATATACGAGTAAATATTAGGTATGTTATTAGCTGCGTAGAATTATGAGATAATTGGCGATTGCGTGCATAAGCTTGAGAATGGCAAACCTGACCTCATCGAACTTGTCCAGCGAACCGTTGTATTACATGAACTATATTTCATCAAACTGGAATCAGTTGCAATCGTGGACAACCGTCTGCTGTGCCGTTGTCATTCTGTTGAACGCTCTTCTCCTGTACATATTGACTGTACGCATAACTACTCCATGGACGTCATTTACCGTGTACATGCTCATCCTGTCCGTTAGCAACATATGCAATGCGTGCTTACAGAGCCCAGTATCGCTCTTGATCAAGGATTTCCTCCCGGTTAATCTTATTTCTTCTTTTTGCGCCGTACATTTAATGATCCGCCAAGCCATCAGCTCCGTTTTACCCGGTTGCCACATGTTAATCTGCCTCAACCGTATCTGCGCCATAACGGCACCGTTCTTCTATAAGCGTTACCACACGAAGAAAGTCGCATGGGCTATCAACTTGACCTTTATGTTTGTCTGTCTAATCTATTACGCTCCGCCCATAGCCCTTGATGCGGCGCTCTACCGGATACCGGCTGCCGATAAAGTCTGCGCATTTCAGTTTGGTTTTCCCGGCGCACCATCCTGGATACGCTCAGCCAGTATACTGTTCTTTAACATTCCGGAAGTTGTTATTGTTCTGGCCTACCCACTACTCTTAGTCCGAAAATGTAAAGGCGGCCGTTCTGTTCGCCCATCGCGAAACGGTGGCACTGACGAAACATCCACTAACAGCCGGCCCGCACAAAAACCCAGCCGGCAACGGAGAACTACGGGCACCCATTCTGTCGCTGTTTTGACACTGTTGACGATCAGTGTCGTAATTTGCTGGACGTCCGGAAATGTCTTCTACTGGATCAGCTCGCAAAATGTCACGTTTTACACGGTGACCGTATTGTTAAAGTTAATTCATGCTGCGCTAGATCCCGTTTTATTGGTGCTATCCATGGCTAATCTGCGAAACGCTTTTGTCAACTGTTTTAAAAGACAGTAATTTGCTCACAAGCACGTTATTTTCATACTTTGCTAAATTAACTCTCATTTATTTTGTCATCACAATTTTTGCACCTATTTCTTCGCAAAAATTACAAAAAGTTGTCATGAAATCTCATAATTACGTGTCATACAAGCTTTTACATTCAACGCAGCGTGTTTATGAATACTTTTGTACATATCGGTATAAACAGTTGCCTATGCTTTCCATTGAGGCAAATTAATTTCAAAACACTAATTATAACAGCCACGTTCAATAGGAGATCCTGGCAGGCTGAAAGTTTGAAAAATCTTTTTGTACATTTCGAAGCGTCGTCGGGCCTGAGGGGTCCCGCCGGGCACACACTCGATCCCTCCGTTAATAAACTTGATCGACACCCCAAAGTGACCTTCATAAATGCCGGCCTGCGAGTGCACACGGCTCTTCCAGAACCAGAAAGCGGCATCCCAGGCGATGCGGTCGTCATTCTTCACTAGGTCTGGGTTCTCCAGCAGGCGAAGGTCACCGTACAGCGCCTGCGAAGCGTCGCGGTAGTTGTAGTAGTGGCTCAGCATAATGTAACCACGTCCGTGGTAGTTTCTGCCGGGATACGGAGCGTACGGGGCATTAATTGGATTGTACTCTTCTTTAGCACGTAGTCCATCGGATTCATGGAGAATGTTGGCCAGGAACATGGCCAGTTCGCGCTTGGTCGTGATGGAACCGGAGCCGGCGGCTCGGCTGTTAATGTTATTGTACTGCTCTTCCGATGGACTGGGGTATCCGTTGGACGTCACCGCTGTGCGGAATTCCTGTAGGCTGATTAAATATCCTGAAAAGAACACCTTTTTTACACCTTGCCAGAATTGCCGTCGGCAATGCATCGGTACTCGGCATTACGTAATACACCCAGTATTATGTAACTGTAATATCATATACAAATTTCGGGAAAATGGATATCGGTCAGTCGGCCTGCGGTTACAGTTTCATGTAATAATCAAAATAACAGCGTACCACCAACAGGAACACCTCAGCATAGAAGCACTTGGTTCACGATATTCGTTAAAGCGATGCTTTTTAACTTCATTTGGTCGTACATTATTTTAAATATTCAGACCGGTACAAACTATAGCTGTATTGTACCTCCACTCGGCGGTTGCGGTGGTTGTGTGGGCGGTTGTTCCCCACCACCACCACCGCTTCCCGGCTGACAGAATCCCCAGAATTGTCCAGCGTCAATCGCGCATCGCAGGCCCGCACAGCACGGGATGTGTCCAGCACAGCCTTCTCCTTGTGTACGGCAGGCGTGACCAGCGGTAACCTATATCAGAAAATTAATAGTACAATTGTTTTGTTTTAAGATCACAAAAATTAGCACAACTTACGAGCACTGCCAGAGAAATCAGTAATAATGCGTGCGACATTTTTGCAGAAGTGACTTTGCAAGACTGTACGAGTATACAAAGTGAATAAGTAATGATAAATATATGGGCACCTTAAATAGTAGCTGGATGGTTATGGTTAACGTTACTGTTTTCCTGCTTTAGGAAGAGATATCTTATCTGTTTAAGCAAATTGCCGCACTGAATCACTCGTGTTGCGGAAATGGAAACAAGTGGTATAGAGTAATCAGTAGACCGTGTCATCGTCGTATAAATATAACTTTTCGGAGTAGGCCGTGTTGGTTCCTGGATGGCGGTATCGATACCGCTAAGTATACCGGGATAATGGTAATTTAATTGTTCTTTGGAATAAATTGATAAGCTTTTGTTGCTAAAATTGCTACCCTGCAAGCTGCACCAACAGTAAACACTATATACATTTCGGCATCGTTATTGTGATTCCGCATGGTATTCTTTCGCGAGATTTTTCCCTATCTATTGAACATTTGTATCTACTATTATGTATTTTCCTGAATCCCGCGGCAAAAACCATAGCACGATAAGTAATACACCGTGCTTTACTTTAAACAAGCACTTGCATTATACAATGTATATGCACACTGCACAGCTGCCAGTCTGCCCCGATACAACCAAGTTATATACAATGTACTTGAAGTACTCTGCATAAGCACAATTACTATTACAAAGAAGTAAGAGAGGATCGTCGTGGTAGCTTCAGATAATAAAACAATTTTTTATTAAACGGTTTATTTTACGTAAACCAGCAAGTTAACGTTAACTAGGGACAAAGACGCCGAGGTACAGTTACAGATATCAAATTCATAGTAGCCTTTCTCAAGGTTTCTATTGATATAATGAATAAAACGGGGTCGAACGCCATCTGAGCTAATTTCATGAAATTCATGGCCACGAAAAAAGTGTAACTTTGAGATCCAGTCCAATAGTAGATATTGGAAGGTGTCCAGCATACAATTACACTAAAGGTCATAAGCGTAAGAACTACTGATGAACGCGATTCCATCCGCCGTGCCTGACGGTCTCCTCGATGCGGTCTGTTGCTGGATTTGGATCTTTCGTTTGGTCCATCGTTCACTATGGAAGGCCGAATTAAATTACATTTAATATTGTACGTCAGAAACAGCGGATAAGTGAGCACGACAAGTTTCCACGGAATGTAGTAAAACACAACTCCATACACCAACATCCATCCACTAGGCGACGAAAACTGCAGAGTGCATCTGCTGTTGGCTGACGGCATTCCGTAATACAGCGCAAAAACAACTACCCCGGGAACGGTGCAAACAATGCTCAGGATGATGGTTACTACGTATGTTGACAGTCCGCGCGACCTTTTGAGTATGATATCGTTTGTACTGGAACGGGATGATCAATGCGCAAATGCGATTCACACAGATCAGCATGTGACATGCTGGCAACGCACAACCCACCGGTATACGCAGCATCAGTAAGGCGTTACAAAATGGCGCTAACTGGGTTGGAGGAAGAAGATCCTTGATCAAAAGAATAACTGGGTGTTGCAGAAAACCATTTGCAATGTTGCCGATGGTCAAGATGAAAAGATACACCGTGAACGACGTCCAGGGTCGCAAGCGTTCAATAAGGACACAAAGAAGAAATGCGTTGGATACCAGTGCCGCCGTGCAGACGCTCGTTGTCCATGATTGCAAATCATCCCAGTGTGATGATATTAGATAGGGCTGTTCCGAGGATGCGTTACCGGTATAATTGGGCATAATTTTGTATTTACTTACTATAATCGTAAGGAAAATTACTAAGCATGTCTTATGGTAATAAGTATCACTTGCAGTTTTGTGCACCTTGCTGCTAAAAGCTGCAACAAGTTCAGAATATTGTTCCCCGTACCGAAATGGTGTGTTGCGCCAGTGGAGATACCATACAGTAACTAATATACAAATTTTAAGAATCTGGAAATGTTACGTAAGTCCGCCTGGAGATAGTTAACATGACATGAAAAGCACTAGAACGGCATCTGTTTCTAAAATTCCATAATTGTGGTAACAGCAACCTGTATTTCCGTCAACGCAATGACATTTAAATAACCGAGCTATTTGAGCTCTTGGTCCGCGAATCACGGCATATGCGTGTGCTATCTGTATCTTTGCCGTCAAAGGTGGGCGTATATCCTGCGAGAACAGCTGGATTTGACCTTTTACTAAAAGCGACGACGAAAGCATTGCAATATGCTCGGTTGAACATCAGGTTGGGTATAGATATAAAAATTTAAAGGCAGATTGAAATCGACTACGTATTATGCGCTGCATGAAATATTATTTCCCGCGCAAGTATACAATATTAATTGTTTAGGGCTAATTATCACTAACTCACAACATGGCACGTAAAGTCGTAAACAATCCGAACACTGCAAGTAGGAAGGTGCGCATCGTTAATGGCGGCCATACTATGTAATATCCTAGTTGAATTTTTTACATTCCGAACAACTTGTTTGATAAGATGGATGCATAAATGTACAAATAATATTTTCAGTTCTTAGCCGTAAGTGTAATGTGTTCCATCCTTTTTGATTTCTCCATTTTTGTCGGTGGGATGGTAATGGTTCTTTTGGCCAGGTTCATGAGCCGTATGGTGCTCGGGCTTCCCTTGCCCGCGTGTTCCGCTGCTTCTTTCGCGGCGCCGCGGCTGTTGCAGTGGACAAAATGCAGCACGGGTTTCCCACTAGGACCGGCTTCACGATGCAATAACTTGGGGCTCTGCTGGCCGTGTGGCTTCGACATGGTCTCTGCAAAACTGCAAAAACCAGAAATTAAAAACATTTGACGTAGACAAAAGAATGTGCTATGAGTCGCTAAGAAGCGGTATTCGCGAACAATATAATTTTACCGTACAGTATAACTATTTTCTTCGAAAAGATGCGGTGACAATTAATACTGTAATCCAAAATTATCGTAATCATACTCGTAACAGTTACTCCAAGGAACTTACTCCAGGTACGTGTATCCACTAAATCACCATACCTCAGGGCTCAAGCCCGTTGTGGTTGCAAAGTGCAGACTTCTTACTCGGGTCGTAGGTTAATCGGCTAAACCAGGTTCCAAATGGTCAAAATTTAATAATCCTTATAATGCATGAACATGCCTAACCAACCTCTGCATCCTACAACAAGCTTTTTGGTTTATTTATACAATATCTGTGGCATTTGCGAACGCTTATGTTTTCTCGCTTTGCGCGCAAATTATGGGCATCGTTGATTTATCCATGCATTGCGCTTGTTACACGTTACACGGCGTACATGGTGAGTGCAATGCAAATGCACTGCATTGCACGTTAATGCTGTTATACGGTACTGTTATCGACGCTGTGTAATAACAAATTTAGATTTAACATAATTACGAACGCAGAGAGATGCCTATGCTACCATTGATTTAATGACTTCGAGATGGCATTCATTACTAATTAGGTGGTAATTTCGCGCAATAATTATCAATTAAGCAATATTAATGCTAGCTAGGTAGTCATCCAAGACGGCAGTAATTAGCTTTACCGATGTATTGCAGATACGAGTAATTAGATATACAGTAACATTTTCGCCCTCCTTTTTGGCATGTGCGATGGGAAGATGGATGCATAAAGTACATGGTTGTTTATCAACAGGCTGACTTAGTGTAAGTTCGGTCATTCACTTATCGCGGCAGTGACAGTTGTTATGTTATCGCATTATTGGGTAGTTTTTTACGCGTCATTTGTTGTTACTCACTGCCACTTGGCTTTTTGTAAGCCAACAGAAATGAATCCTATATATTAAAGCAGAACCGTTATTCCGGAACGCTCCTGCCTCCAAAACGCTCTGATTGGCCAGAACCAGCCTAACCTTTCTGATTGGCCAGAACCCGCCTGGCGGGTTTTAAGCTTTTGCAGCCCCTTAAACCTGTGCTTTTGCGCGTTTGTCCTTACCAAGTTTCCGAAACTTAGTACCTTCACCTGTGAAAACCTTTGCCTGATAAACCGGATCCCGGCTTCAGCATTGCTCCTTACTAAGCTTCCAAACATTAGTTCTTAAAGAAACCTGATAACTTTAAATAACTTACCGGTACCGTCTTTTAAGCCTTTAAATACCTTGAGGTACCACCTTTTAAGCCTTTAGTAACCGAAAGTCCCGCGTGCTGGACCCGTCCTTTTAAGCCTTTTTCAACCGAAGGCCACGCATGCGCTACCCAGCCATTTAGGCCTTTGGTCACCGGAGGCCACGCGTGCGGGACCCGTCCTCTTAAGCCTTTTGAAACCGAAGGCCGCGCGTGCGGTATCCGTCCTTTTAAGCCTTTGGTCACCGCAGTCCACGCGTGCTGGACCCGCCCTTTTGAGCCTTTGATAACCGAAGGCCACGCCTGCGGTACCCGCATTTTTGAGCCTTTGATAACCGAAGGCCACGCGTGCGTTACCCGCTTTTTTTGAGCATTTGGTCACTGGAGTCTACGCGTGCTGGATCCGTTCTTTTAAGCCTTTTGCAACCGAAGGCCACGAGTGCGGTGCCCGCCTTTTTGAGCCTTTGATCTTTGAAGGCCACGCGTGCGGTACCCGCCCTTTTGAGCCTTTGGTCATTGAAGGCCACGCCTGCGGTATTCGCTTTTTTAGCCTTTGGTTACCGAAGGCTATGCGTGCGGTACCCGCCTTTTTGAGCCTTTGATCACCGAAGGCCACGCGTACGTTACCCGCCTTTTTGAGCCTTTGGTCACCGCAGTCCACGCGTGCTGGACCCGTCCTTTTACGCCTTTTGCAACCGAAGCCCACGCGTGCGGTACCCGCCCTTTTGAGCCTTTGATGACCGAAGGCCACGCCTGCGGTACCCGCATTTTTGAGCCTTTGATAACCGAAGGCCACGCCTGCGTGCTCGGTTTTTTTAGCCTTGGGTAGCCGGAGGCCACACGTGCTAGACCCGTTCTTTTAAGCCTTTTGCAACCAAAGGCCACGCGTGCGGTGCCCACCTTTTTGAGCCTTTGATCACCGAAGGCCACGCGTGCGTTACCCGCTTTTTTGAGCCTTTGATAACCGAAGGCCACGCCTGCGTGCTCGGTTTTTTTAGCCTTGGGTAGCCGGAGGCCACACGTGCTAGACCCGTTCTTTTAAGCCTTTTGCAACCAAAGGCCACGCGTGCGGTGCCCACCTTTTTGAGCCTTTGATCACCGAAGGCCACGCGTGCGGTACCCGCCTTTTTGAGCCTTTGATCACCGAAGGCCACGCGTGCGTTACCCGCTTTTTTGAGCCTTTGGTCGCCGAAGGCCGCGCGTGGTGGACCCGTTCTTTGAAGCTTTTTGCAACCGAAGGCCACGCGTGCGGTGCCCACCTTTTGGAGCCTTTGATCACCGAAGGCCACGCGTGCGATACCCACCCTTTTGAGCCTTTTGGTCACCGAAGGCTCCGCGTGCGGTACCCGCCTTTTTGAGCCTTTGATCACCGAAGGCTACGCGTGCAATACCCGCTTTTTTTAAGCCCTTGATCACCGAAGGCCACGCGTGCGTTATTCGCTTTTTTTGAGCCTTTGGTCACCGAAGGCTACGCGTGCGGTACCCGCCTCTTTGAGCCTTTGATTTTTGAAGGCCACGCGTGCGATACCCGCCCTTTTGAGCCTTTGGTCACCGAAGCCCACGCGTGCGGTACCCGCCTTTTTGAGCCTTTGATAACCGAAGGCCACGCGTGCGGTACCCGCCTTTTTAAGCCTTTTGCAACCGAAGGCCACGAGTGCGGTGCCCGCCTTTTTGAGCCTTTGATCTTTGAAGGCCACGCGTGCGGTACCCGCCCTTTTGAGCCTTTGGTCATTGAAGGCCACGCCTGCGGTATTCGCTTTTTTAGCCTTTGGTTACCGAAGGCTATGCGTGCGGTACCCGCCTTTTTCAGCCTTTGATCACCGAAGGCCACGCGTACGTTACCCGCCTTTTTGCGCCTTTGGTCACCGAAGGCCACGCGTGCGGTACCCGCCTTTTTGAGCCTTTGAAGGCCACGCGTGCGGTACCCGCCCTTTCGAGCCTTGGGTCGGCGAAGGCTACGCGTGCGGTACCTGCCCTTTTGAGCCTTTGGTCGCCGAAGGCTACGCGTGCGGCACCCGCCTTTTCAGGGTTTTTTTAACCGAAGGTCACGCGTGCGGTACCCGCTCTTTTAACCCTTTGGTCGCCGGAGGCCACACGTGCTGGACCCGTTCTTTTAAGCCTTTTGAAACCGAAGGCCACGCGAGCGGTGGCCACGTTTTTGAGCCTTTGAACTTTGAAGGCCACGCCTGCGGTACCCGCTTTTTTTAACCTTTGGTTACCGAAGACTACGCGTGCGGTACCCGCCTTTTTGAGCCCTTGATCACCGAAGGCACGCGCGCGTTATCCGCTTTTTTTGTGCCTTTGGTCGCCGAAGGCTACGCGTGCGGCACCCGCTCCTTTAACCCTTTGGTAACCGAAGGGCACACATGATGTGTCCACTCTTTTAAGCGTTTTGTAACCGAAGAATTTCGGTTTATCCCGTTTCTAGATACAGTAACTGTATTCCCCTTTCAATAAGACTTACTCAGCATATAAAACCGTTTCACTTCCATTCGTTTAGCCAAAATGACCAGCCGACAAAAACCGCCTTTGCACTGCAGCGCGGCGCGTAAGCGCCGCGCGCTGTGCTTGTCTCTATTATGATTCATGCCGAGAGTTCCCCTAACCAGTTGGTTTGATGTCATCAGCCTGTCTCTGATTGCCGATCATGGCATCATGATCACTGCAGCATGAATTACGCCGCTTTCACGATTGATCAGCATGATGATACCAGCGGCACTGTTTATTGTCCCAGCCACTCCCAGGGCCGGTTCTGGCTGATAATATCCAGTGTGCATCTGCTATCTGGGTTTTAGCTAGTACTCTTGTACAGACTCGTATGTGTTCATTCTTGCTTTCGATATGCCTTACAATTACAACCCATTTATTTCATTTCCTGTACATTTTCTTTAATTACAAAGCCCTGAAAAAAGTCCTCTTAGCGCATCAGCCCAAGTGCAAAACTTTGAACGGAGAAGCCGAGAGGTCCAAAGCGTGGACCTTATTCGGCAAACGTAATCTGGTGCAGTTGCTAACTGGTTATCGTGGAAACTATGCAGTCAGCCAGAGCGTAGAACGGACGTACAGCTTCAGCAGAGGCGTTCGACGTCATAGCACAAACACCAATAAAAATCTGCGTGAGACGTTAGTGTGTAAATGACAAACAATACTTCTATAATTAAGGAACTACAGCCTGCTGTACATGCACCTGCAGTCTAGCTCCAGCTTCAAACTAATGTTTTGTTACGATTTCTTACTAACAGCCAGGGAAATACTGAAAACTGGAACATTTCACTAAAGTGGAAACGGCCTAACCGTTCAGTATTACAGTATATGAAGTAAGAATGGATGCAATGTACTGAAGTCCTCAGCCGAAACCAGAAAGTTTTGTTTTTACAAGCCTGAAAAATCCATATATCTCTCGACTGTCGTATATTGATGCTGTGATTTTTTGGAATTTTGCAAATAATTATGCTAACTCATACATGGCTAATCAATAAATTCCAGTATAATTTTAGAAGAAGCACGTAAAGCAATGATTTGTGATGTTATAAACCACTCAACAAAATCTGTCTTATAAAGTGTACGTATCAGCACTATAATCCATATCCACCACCGGTTTTCTCTCGCCTTGATCTCCCCTCCGTCTCCACAAAGTGGCCCGTCTGCCGATATTCCTCGCTGAATCGACCACGGTCCCAGTTCGTCCGGTGAGCACCACAAAGGCCACCGCGCCAGCCACGCCCACTAATAGTAAAACACCAATGACAATCCCGGCGATGGATCCACCGGATAAACCGCTATCCGCCGCGGTAGTCGGTCCTACCGTTCCACCAAAGTCCTTTGTGGTGGAGGCACCGGTAACCGAGGATGATGTCTGTTGAACCGGGACATTGGTCACAACACCGGTTGATGTGCCGGTTGACTGCGGCGGTTGCGCAGTGGCTTTTGTTGTTGTCGTTGTAGTTGCGCTTGATGCGACACTGGGCACCCCTGTCGTAGTCGTCGTGGTGACAGTGGTCGTTGAAGTGGTAGTAGTTGTCGTTGTTGTGGATGTTGCGGTCGTTGTGGGAAGTGCTGTAGTCGGCAGTCCTAGTTTCATTGTTTCGCATACGAAGCCGCGATCATCGTAACAGTAGATGTTGTTCCATGTGCCGTTAGGTAAAATCTCGACACATCCATCGCGACTAAATGAGGTAGGTGACAACGCCGGTTTACCTAAAAATTTTCGGAATAATTAGTAAAAAGTTATTTGAACACAATAATTTCGATAAATTATAAACTAAACAGATCAATAAATAAGTTATAAATTCTGTCCAATACTGGTCATTACCGGATGCCCAGTTTTGGTACGTCGCTGGACCGTAGTCCACAACGGAGTCATCCCATTCCCATACGTAGTCACCCGAACCGAATACGTAGTTTTCCGACAGACCAATCCAGAGTCCGTCCGCCGAATGGAGCACATATTTCTCCAAGCATTTCTGCTCGCGTTCGTTACGGATGGTGGCCAGACTGCCGCCGAAATCGCGGCAGATGCGAGCGGCGTTAGAACGCGTCATTATAAGAGACGATTGGTTTGCCTGATGGGATCGCGTTTGGATGCGGTAGCACACGGTATCGCACTCCTGTGGATGATCGGCCGGGCAGAAAGCTTCGTCCGATGTGGTGTTGTCCGTTGGATGGCATTTTTCTGCAACAAATCGTTCTTAACCGAATGCATTCCACAGAGTCACAGACTACTCTGTACACTCCACGTAATCATTTTTGTAGCATTAATTTTTACGTTTAGTACAATATCGTATAGACTCTCATTCCAGTAATGATTGTTAATGTTTATGTACTTAGTAAAAGATATTCAGTTTCTATAAACAAGCAAAAGATTATTGCTGAATGTAAGTTGAGAATCAGCTTTCTATGTAAAATTTTCTTGCGAGTTGCGATTACGGATGCTTACCGGTGCGCCATTCACAAAGAGCGTACGGTGCCGTTGCGCCGCATCCCTGTTCCTCCCACTTCCCTTGTCGATCCATGACGATGCATTCTTCCACCTGGTTCTCCGGAATCGGTATTAGGCTTTGAAAATTGGAAAACACCACCGGGCACCCATTGTGCCATGCAAACGTATGCTTGTCGGCCTTCATCCCAATCCATGCCTTGGCATTAGCCTGATCGTTTTGGGAACGTTGGTGCAGGAGCAACCGGATATAGGCATTCTCAAAGACGTCAGTAATTGTGGTAATACTTCCTTGCTGGCGTTGGCAAGCATCTTTAGCGCCTTGCCACGTGTTGGACGCCGAATCCAGCGTGATAACCGCGAAGCATGGACCGTTTTCGTAAAACTGTGTGTAGCCGGCGATGCAGTTGCTGGTTGGCGGAGAGGCAGTCGGCGCAAGAGGATCTTTAAACAGCAAAGGTTTTATACAGTATAACTGCAGTTTGCGTCGGTGATAATGTTATGAGGTTGTGAAGTGATTTACCTATTCCAGCTCTGCAAATGTAGTCTTTAGTCTGTGTGTCGTGAACGGCTTGCCATCTCCCGGCGCGGTTATGCTCGCTTCGAATTTCCACTGCACGTGGCTAACAGTAAGACAGGTTAGAATATGGTCAAATGCACAGTGAATGCGAATGCTTTCTTTTACTTACTTCTCTTCCTTCTGTTAATGGTTCGGAGAAATGCCAGTTATTAAAGGTCACACGAGAGTGGTCTGACCAGACGAAGGTACTGTCGTAGTTGTCAATGTCGACTTTGTGCAGTCCAATCCAGAAACCTTTGTTTGGGTATTTTCGCAGTTCCGTGACGAGGAAGTCATTTTCCAGGGAGCTGTGAATGGAAAGTAGCTCCGACGGTATACCACCCGAAGATAACAGCATGTTGATGCAGGCCTCGTGCGATTCGTTCCACGTGCGATTCGCATTAACCGCAAAGTAGTAGCAAGAGTGACCTTTATAAAATTTCCGCACATTTCGTCATAAGAATGTAAAAGTATAGTTGTAAAGCGGATTACGTAGGTAAACAAATGAAACAGTGCATTAAGTTTACCGTGCTGCACCCATCCCGGATGGCAGTTACCGGTAACCGGAGTAGGCGGTCGTGTAGGACGGACTCGCTGCGTCCTAGCACAAATGTACTTTTGCTGCGAGGCACAGTGCCGCGAAATCCATTTCCCATGGAGGCTAGCTTGCACAACGCAACGGTTGATGGAGCCCATTGTCGGCTGACCCGCCTCCCAAGGGCGGAAGAAGGACTCGTGTCCATCGACCCAGCTATACACATTGTTGACGATATCGGTGATGCCCAGGCCGATCCAGTATTCGTATTGGCTCCAACTTTGTATCTGGGAAAGTTTCAGGACAATGAACGGATAGTTTTCACTGGTCACCGTGATCAGGTTAGCGTTGAGGGATTCGCAGGTTTCTTGCGCGTTAGCCCAGCTGTCTGATTTCTGGGAGATGAAAATACACTCGTTTGTCAGGGACGAAAAGAACCATTGGCCATCCAAGGAAGACGATGAACCACAAGTATCTAGCCCGAAAATAATATGTAAACAAATCTTTAAAAAACGATACTTCTATGAAAAGAAGCTAAAACAATTATGCAGCTAATTACCGTTGGCCGGAACTTCCGTAGGGTACTGCTCAATAAGCTGTCCATCGAAGTACGCTCCCTTCGGTATTTCACAAATCCATCCAGCGGCTAAGAGGCAGCTTTGGGGAATCCATTTTCCCGCTATATTTGTAACAGCACAGTTGGGCGTGTAGGTAGTACTGTGATCGGTTGTTGGGTGGAAATGCGACACGGTCAGTGGTTTTCCATCTGACCACTCCCATCGATTCTGTACTGCAGGGTTTTGATGCAGCCCGATCCACATCGGATCACCGTTAACGATTCGATAGATCAACGCTTGCTCTTCGCCACTGTTGATCGATGCCAGATGGCCGTTTCGAAAACGGCGACAAAAATCCTCGGCTTCTTGCCAGCTGATCTTCCGTACGGAGCCTTGTGCGTAACCTTGATAAGTCTACAGATATAAACATGATTTAAACGCAGACGCTGTTAAAATAGTATTACCAAAAAATTGAGTCGGATTGTTGATATCAGTAATTAATGCGCAGTAAGAATTAAGTAATAAAAATAAAAAATTTGTCTGATGCTTAATTATGCAACCTGTTGTCGTGAAAACTGAAAAAAGCTTTCGGACCATTTAGCGCAGATTTGTGGAGGCTTCCGTTGCCATCTCCACTACCCAAGGCGGGTCTTTAAAGTATTTGTAATTTTTCGCGGGCAAAATATGTATATATACAGTAAACTATTTTTTATTGCGCAGACAAGTATATGTGTAAACTAATTTTCGGCACCGCCATCGATATCACAAAGGTGAAAGTGTGTCAATCAGATACTCTGCGCATGCACTTACTCTATAACAATCTCGTAGCTGGGTCTCCGTACTCCACCCCCGCGGGCATCCATTGGGAAACGGCGTGGACGGTCGCGGTGTCGTAGTGGGCGGTCCCGCACTATTCGGTCCCATACAGAACGGCACCTTGCGTTCGGTGCAGCCCGCCACGTACCAATCTCCCGGCATCACGGCACCGTGCTCCCCGATGGTTCCATGCATGGCCACACAGCCCACATAGCCCGCATCCCCGGCCAGTGCCGGCTGATTATGCGCCCAGTTAGTGGAGGTCACGCTCGTTCCATCCACCCATTTCTTGAACGCATTCCACGGATCGGCATCCTCTCTTAACCCGATCCACACATCCATGCCCAGTCTCCCCAGGACCGCGTTAACAAACTCTCGCTCATCTACACCGTTGCGGAAGACGGCTAAATCCCCGCCGGGGAACTTTTGTGTGCAGTGGGCGCGGGCTGTATCAAAGTCCACATAGCGGGTGACGCCCGACTGCGGATCATTGCCGAAGTAGAAACACTTGTCGCGGAATGCCGTACCGTATGGTAAGCAGCCGTACGAATGGGGAATGGTAACTGCAGTTACAGATCCGCCAACCGGCGATGGTGGCTTCTTGCAGACGAAGCTTTTGCGCTCGTGGCACGGGTACACTGCCACACCCTAAACAACAAGACCCCTTTTTATATCTACCATGTAATATTAATTGCTGCTTCCAATAAAATTTAAAAGAAGCGAAAAAGAAACGGTTAGCAAAGCAAAACAAGCTTGCTGCTTGAAAATTTTTCATCCCGGGAAAAATTTTCTAACTAATGGGAATATTGCAAAAACGACCCCTCAGGGGATCTTTGTCTCGCTGTGTGCTTCTGAATCGGGAGGGGACACTAACTGATAAACTGCGGTAATAAATGCAGCTTTTGATCACTTACATCGGCCGATATCGCGCCACAGTTCGTGTCGTTTTCCGCAACGCCCACACCATGATTATTGGGCGACTCCACTCCCCATGGAAGGTACGTGACCTCTTCGCCGTTATCCCATGTAAACTCGCGAGGATTATCCGTGTTCATTATACTGTTGAGGCCAATCCAGCTACCCAGTGAAAATCGTTTGTACGATTGGTAGTCAATCGGGTCCTTGAATGTCAGCAGATACGCTTGCTCGTTTTGGCAGAGCTTACGAGCGGAGAACCAATCGGTGGCGGTAATGTTCATCTTGATGCAGTGATCGTTCATTGCGTACCAATGATCGGGGCATCCTAGTTGCTGTCCTAAACAATAAACTCCATCAATATTTTGCGCTACCGGATCAGTTTTTTCAAGGCGAATGAGTTCCACAAACCGGGTTGTAATGTTGGAGCTTGCGTATTCTCTGTTGTTGTCACCGGTAGCGAGATGGTTTTCTTACAAACAGCCGCACGGAATTGGTTACAAATACTCGTGTGCCATTTGTACTGTGTACCCGGCCCGGAAATGTAGGCGCATCCTTTGGCTTTGTTCATTGTTGGCTCGCCTGTTAATGTATTAGAATTACATGGGCAATATTTACTTGGATTTATAGAAAAGGTTTACCGTCCGCCCAGTTGCTCAGAGTAAACGGCAGGTACCACATGTCGAGATAATCGCGGTACGGCCAATGCCACCGACCAGGTTCTGCGGCATACAGACCAATCCACAGTGTATGGGACAAACCAGAAAACTGAGTCTCCAGTTTCCCTGAAAATATTAGTATTCAGCATGGATCATAAATAAAAATGTTCGCATATTTGAAGATATTTACCTCGCACAAAGGCTTCCTCTTCTCTGCTAGTCATCCATAAAAGGTCACTGTTATCGCTCTTTGCCTGACAGGTTGCTTTAGCGGACGACCATGTTGCCGGTTCGGTGCTGACGTGGTAACAGTTGGAACCGTTACGGAACCATCCCCCACCACATTCACCGTCGTATGGGTCATCGATGGGTGGAGTTTCAATGGGCGCTAAAAATTTTGACAGAAGAGGGTTGTACAAATTCAGAGATAAAGTAAAGGTAAGTACTTCTATTATACTCACAAAAAAATGCAGTACACTACAGAGTAGGGTTAGCGATTTAGGCTAATTTCAAAGATAAGCATAATTATTGCAATCACAATCACATACTCGTTAACCGCAAAAAACGTTGAAACGAAAAATGCGTCGATTTGCGAATTTCAAGTTGGATTTGTCGCAAACCCATTGACTTATGGGTTATGCGGTTTATGCCAATGCCAATGCTTTAGGAGTACGAGAGTAATGAATTTATGCCTCTCGTACTCCTAGGGCAACGGCAATGGTTATGCTCTAAAAGAGCCCCGCTGTAGATTATCTGTACATTATTGAAGAATGGTCAGTATTCGACTGTTTGGTTGTTGCACTGTACTTACTTCCTGGATGCCAGCAAACATATTCCCGCTGCTCACTGCACTGCGCATGATACCAGCGTCCGCGTTCGGCGATTGACCCGTACGCCGTAACGTTGTATGTGCTGTTTATTCCCGCCATGGCTATACAGAATCTATTGAAATTGGAGTCGACCGTTATAGAGTAGTAATCCGCGAACTCATGAAAAATTACGGATCCATTGCCAGCCTAAATTCAGCATACAGTCAAGCAAAATGTGTCCTTGCAAAGTTAGATGGCACAAAACCGTATCCTACAATTTGTCCATTGCTGTGAGAATACTCCAGATTGCTAACGAAGAATCCACTGCCCAACACTTTGGTGACCTTTAGCCCAAACCAGGTGTCTTTTCTCACCAGATCTGTTAGACACATTATTGCTAATAGTTGGGAAGCAATAAGACACGGAGAAGTTACATTCGATGCTTAAAACATCCTTCCGGCTTTTCTGACACGTAAGAAATCTGATCGTGTGGTCTGGGGAAATTTTCTTACTGGAAAGGTATACGTTTTCGCCGCGAGTATAAATTGGAGCTAAAAGCGCTTTGCGGTTCTTGCAGTCCTGGGCCGCTGCTTCGTATGATTTGGGTTCGCTGACCAGCAGATAACAGCCTTCGTGCCATTTAGTAAAGGGTGGTTCGCACGTGTGCTCAGCTGCAACATATAGACAGTAAATAAATTATTTTTAAATAGATAGTGATTTCTGATAGCAGTGTTTTCTGATAGCAATGCATACGCGTGATAATTTCATCGGGTGGAATCACTGCAGTATGGTGGGCTTCGCAGATGTATCCTTGCGGTATGGAGCAGAAGTTAATGTACCATCCACCGGTGACATTCGCTAATTAATATTATAATACGCTGTTATGCTCTTTGAACAGTTTTATAAAAGTCTAAAACTGGCTTACAAAAACGGTCAAAGATAACGTAAACGCAATATCCCAGCGTGGTCCCTTGGATGGTAAAACCTGGTTCATTGGGAAACTCGTTAGAACCCATGAAGGATCCGTCGGGCCATATCCACTGAGAGTTCGACATCGATAAACCGGATCCTGTAAAACCATTGCCAATCACACCGTATTCATGGACAGTATGCTATATATTTCCGGCTTGGTCTAAAACTCGTAGAAGTAACGACGAGATATTCGTGTCTACCAGTTAATCCAATCCAGTACATCTCGTGCCCAGTTCCTTCTTCCCAGTCATGGGCACCATATTTCCAAATGAGATCCACAATAAAGCGTTGCTTCACAGGGCTATAAAAGCACTGGTGTCAGTATTCCTTACTGCATACGCTGTTGACAAGCACGCTACGTTACTCTTTGATAATGACGAGGTCGCCGCGTTTGGCTTTGCAGTCATCATTCGCCGCCTGCCATGTTTTCAGGTTATCCTCTCCAAGATTGATTTGGTAACAATAATCACCAGATTGATGCCATCCATATGGGCATTTGTCTGGGAAATAATTGCTTAATTAAAACCACCATATCTTTCATTCATTATGCCGGTTACGCGAAGATGGTGAATTCTGGGCGAAACTCACTGAGCAGGGTCTCACAGGCATACGGTCGTATTTCGTCACATTTTGGCTCTAATGACCACGTATCCGCATTGTACAGCCATTCCCCATTGGGTCCGCCATAATGCGCCTTTCTCGTGAAATATTCGCCACAATAACTCGGACCATTGGGAAGATCGCTGTATGAAAATATTCAGTGTGACCTTCTTATAGACGGCGACTACCGAAGCTACTAGAAGCACACATACTTTAAGTAAGAAGCCAAACTGGTGTTTATCCATAAATTCTGCTGCGTCTGCTCAAGCGGTGTACCATCATGCCAGGCCACGCTGGCGACTGTGATCGACGCGTTCTTGTTGGGAATATCCACACCGATCCAGGACGTAGTTTGTACGGATAACATGCGGTAGCGATACTGCAAATGGCTCATCACGTTTAGGGTACGCGGGACTACCAGGTGACCGCCATCCGCACTATAGCAACATATTCAGAATGAACTGACGATGACATTCATAAATAAAATGTTGGTATCAATAATATCGATACCACCATTTTATTCATGAACGTACATTTTATTATATCTATTCATAATACATTCATTGTATTATATCTACACGACAATATCCCAATTGTCCGGGTGCGGACAAACAATACTGAATGATTAACGGCGACCTACATGCATTGTCCTTCAGCGTCCGCAAACGTCGCCGGTGTTTCGGATACCTGATAGCAGTGACCATCTTGGTATTCCCACCCTTCTTCGACTTTGCACCACGGCCGGCCAGCTGTAATTAAAATTTCTGTAATATAGAAAAAGGTTATTGTTTGCATTTATTTAACCCTTACTCCACGCTCCTTTGCAGATGTACCCATTGGTCAGAGTTGCGGTATCATGTTTAAACTCAAAACCACGGAAGGTACTGTTGGAGACATATCGGATAGTGCCACGTTTTTCGCGCATTGTCGCATCCGTTCCATTTAGTGGGTCCACGTTGCTGCAACATTAACTTTGTTTTTCTTGGGGCATGGTTTAATTATGCATATAATTCCATGGAAATTCAGCAGTGCGAGGTCATTTACAGCCCAAGTATTGGTGTATACGGTCGGTACGTTTCTCCATCGAACCACTCCCATGTGCCCTTTTCAAATGTTAGTCCCATCCAGTACCAATTGTATTCCGCCGGGAACTTTGCTGTTATCCAATCCTAAATTTTTAGGCGAAGTAAGAATGAATTTTTTATTTCTGGTAAATTAACGCACCCTATGGCGAAATTATGTAACTGTACCGTATTACAAAAAAAAATTAGTACTGGTTTAATAACATTAATATTGACAAACCTTTACATATATTTCAAGTTGATTCGTTTTCATAATTATGTCGATTTTGAAATAGGTAAATATCGAGATGTATGATTGTGGTAATATAAAGTAATTAAGAGAATAAGTCTTGCACAACTATTTTAATGTAAGTACTTGTTGAAAATATAACTACATATATAAATTAAAAGCGTTAATTTAATGCTAGTTAGCTTTGTATGTACGATCGAGTTTGTAATATTCATTGTTAACATGGAGCGGATTTTATTACTTAATCTGACTACATTGCCAACGCCCTTCTAATGAATTCCATACGAGTAGTATTGCTTACCAGTTCCGATGCATCGTCCAGAGTCACAATGCTACCACCACGGATTTTACACACTTCCACCGCCTCCAACCATCGTTTCCTCTCGTTAATCCCATTCTGTATGCCGCTGCTGAACTTATTATTGTAGATAAAATAACACTTGTTGGTGCCTTTCCGGTAGAACCAATCCTCTCCAGGACAACGATATGCCCACGAAGCTGGTGTACCTTTATTCATCGCAACAATGCAACATTGTAATTTTTATTGAAAACCAACAAGAAACCGACATATTAAGCCTGCAGCTGAAATTTTTTAAACGCCAGCTTATGAAAATATGCTTACCTGTGGCTAAAATAATTGTGAATGTAAACAGCAGATGCATTTTCGGTGGCGATAAGTGATAACAAAATTCAACAGCCGGTAAAGGTTACAAACGCACTGAATAAACCATTATGCTCGGGCAGCTAGACGTTTTCGTAGATACTTTTCAAAAACTGAGACAAAAGGTTATTTAAAATGAAAGACGCAGAAATACTGCTGTGGGATGTAAGTGTCAGTCTCAACATGTACGAGTAAATTTTCCAACAAATATGTGGCAAAAATTCTTAGGACAGTTATAATTCTGAAAATGCGCTTAGAGTTGTGTTCCTTCATGCCACTCGCATGGCACGAAACGCCATGATATCAATTTTTATGTGCATTTTATGTCTTTTCTTTTGTCACCTTAATTTCGATAAGCTTGGAACTAGACAGGTACTAGGCGGTGCAACATGTAGGAAAGAAAATTTACGACTGCCCATAATAGACGTATTTTTGCACAACAGTAGATTACTTAATTACCGGCATTAATTGATAAGGTACGTATTACAGCTTCGTATACACCGTGAGCTTGCAACAGCCATTGTCTTGTGTGCTTTAAAATTATGAGCTACGTTCGTGTGCGCACGAGCCTAAGTATTTATTTTCAGTTATTAATTAAAACGAAATTTGACTTCGCAGTAATAACCGCAACTGACAGCGGCAACTCGGCAAGTATATGTTAACGTAGAATGAACTACTGTTTTGCTATTCGTTACCTGTTAATGGCATTATTTCTGCAAGTGCGTAATTTACTTATATTTCTGTACGTAGTGCAAATCAGATGGTCATTGAATTGCATTTTATTGCAGAACAAATTCTGGACATGTATGACAAACGCAGTTGAGTTAAAACAGAAGAGTTCTAGTATTCAAACTGTTTATGAATATATCAGCAAGGTCAACGAATCGCGATGTTATAATTAAGATGCATACCATAAGGTCAATTCCTCACGAAATCATCGGCAACTTTGGCATGGTATAGAGACCTACATGCTTTTCCTCTATATCGCAGCATATGGTCAGTTTAAACGGGAAGACCAGGTCCCGTTCCAGCTCCACCAGCGCCTCCCGCGCCGCCCGGCACCACCCCAGGAGCAGCCGTAACGGAGGGCGCGGTGGGTCCGAGCGGGGTCAAGGTCGCCGCGGTTTTAATATAAGGCTTCAGGCGGAAAAAGAATTCATTATCGTTCATCACTCCGGTGGTGGCCATGCCCGTCTGCCGCATCAGATCCAGATTATACAGCTTCTCCTCCAGGGTCATCGGGTGGGGGATTAGCTGCTGTTCCAGGTTGTCCCACATATCGCCCATTTGCCGTAGAAATTGTTGACGCATGGCATACGGGGCATCGGCGTACTGCTGGGCGTAATATATACTGTCCCACTCGTCGTCCTGATCGTCGCCCCAGCCATACATCTGGGCGGATGCCGTGGTCAGCAAGGCTAACACGGCGCAGACGCCGCTCACCAGGACGTAGTGCTGCATGATTGTGGCAAATAGGGAGATGATGTAGCAAATTTATCGGACTTGCAGCGGACTAACACAAGATTGTACAGTAAAATTTTATTGATGATTATTTTGCTTAAAGACAAGCAATGCGCTTCAACCAAAACTTTTGGTTGCTATGTGGCACAGTACGGACAGTATATGGAGCGCTTATTACTTACTTTGTTGCTGTGTTAAATAGTACTGTTGGTACTTTTATTTAAGGTCATAATAATACTATTCCTCATAAGTAATAAAAATTGTGATGTTACAAAGCAAATACGAAGGGTTTAGTGATTTAAAGGGGTGGTGACAGGTGGTCTGCCGACTTCTGGATCACAATTGCAATACGCATGAAATCGACAGGCGCGAAAACTTGCAATGATTATTACAAATTTTTGTTACCTATAGTACTGCAATTCTTGTTAGGAGTATCTGTTGGCTGTGGCACGGGTGTTTACGAGTAATAATTTATTGCATGTATGTACTTACAGTATATCTCAACCCGTGGGCTTTGATTCAGATCCAGCGCAAGTGTCGTTACACGAACCCGCGCGATGGCCATGCGTCGACCCATAGGGATCCCCGCCCGGAATTTTTGCTGAGTATTTGATGCGGCGGTTTTAAGTAGTAAAATGAACGGGAACTAAGTGGCAAACACCAGTAACTTTCAGAAGACATACGAAACACTTGGCCGGATGGTCCGGGTCATGGCAGCACTTCGATCATAATACGGTCACAGACCACACACGGATATTTTTAAGTTTTTCTACACTTTAGACAAACTGAATTATTTTGTTACTACAGGCGGTTTCAAACACATCAGGGTGCGAACCTACGGAAAATAATAAATTTTTTAAGGCTAAGCTGGACTAAAACTGACCACGCGTTGACTAAGTCCGTAAAAACAAAGTTAGTTGCGTTTTGGACGATAAGAATACAAATGAATATGAAGGTGAAGATATGGCACACTGTATGGACTACAATGGTCTTAATTTTATATATCAAGACAAGACAAAAAAAAGACAAAAAAAAAATTTATGAAAATATCAAGACTATTTAATAGTCTTGATATTGTCTGAAAACTCTTCTTAGTTCTTATAAGCTGCTGTATTTCAATTAAATTCGTTATTTGATTGGGTTACTAAGCTAGCGCACACAGCGTGTACATTGGGATGTGCCCGAGCATGCACAGCGCAAATAAATTATAGTTTTTGCTTTCTGGGGCCTCTTTGAAGCTTAACTGCGTCTGCGTGGTGAGCGGGAGTCGCATGACAGTAATATACTGGATGGCAAAAGAGCGGGACGGAAGACCATCCAGCTAGGTGCTATCAGATATTGTTGCGCTTTTTATAATTGCCGTTCCTGAGTCCCTGACGTTTCGTCCTCGGCTTTCCCGGCTCCGATTACGTTGGCGAACATGACTGTCAATCTGCAATCAATTCGACTCAAATTATTAAAGTTTGGGGAACGGGCCTGTATTCGGCGGGTTCGGCACGCCCCTGACTACATCCAAAGGGCATTTCCAACCGTATATATTACGGGTAGGGAAGACCGGAAGAGTAAGTAGCATGCGAAAAAGATATGCACACAGCACACCTGACTGGATCTATTGTGCCAGTATAGCGTATGATTCGTTGTTTCAATCGCGAAAAGGGAAATCTGAGCCGAAACGCCAGGCAGACCTGCCATAAACATGATTGATGCGACTGCTAATGAGCCACCCATTGTTTGGTCTGATGTTTCAGTCCACATTATTGTTTTTGGGGACTAGCTGTCATTCAAACTTTTGGATTGTTTATGCATGTGCCGGGCGGCATGTAAAGACATCTGAAGTTTTCTTATTCGCTCCGAATCACCCGCCCTCGATCCTAAACTGCTTAGATCGACTTGGGCAAACTTATTGTTAGTTTGTTTAGTTAGAAAATCGGTAATGAAAATTTGGTTCACCAATAAAAGTAATTACATTTTTTGTGCACCGTTTTCGAACTTCGGCATACCGCTAGTAGTAGTAAACTGAAAGCATAGAATTAATATGACAAACGTTAGCGAGAATAATTTTTCTGTACACGCGAAAATTAACGGAGGAGTTGTGTAATTACACAACTACATTTTATAAAATGTAATTTTAATACCACTACCAATAATTACGGGTGTAGGTAGCGCTGTCTCGCACCGGTAAAATTTTTAATTTGACGTGAACAGTAGTACATATCCGCATGTTGCGCTTTACTTGCGTACAGCTGAGGATATGCTTGGTTCACCTCAGCTCACCTAATATAATTTATGTGTACACACGCTTTGAGGACAAACAGAACCCAAAACTGGAAATGCCGAGATAACAAGCTACCCGCAAAATGATTGAAAACAGAATACATACATTCCTCCATTCATAAGCAGGCTAAAGCAGCAGCCCGGCCAGCACCGTTTCTCTCCTCACTTATCCGTATTTGTGCTGCCGATAAGGACAGACATGGGCGTCGCCGGTTGGCGGGAGTTATAAACAATTTACAGCCGCAACCAATGGCCGTATTGACAGATAAGCGCAGCCCGTCGGTGCGTTTGCACAGAGAGCGCTGATATCCGCTCTCTCTATCTGCTTTTGTACGCTCTGGTCCGGTTTCCATGTTTGTACGTATTATCTGACCATTCTCTCTTTCTGTCTGGTGCTGCGTCGTTTTCACTCTGGCCATATTCAATTCGCCAATGTATGCTCAGATTACCAGAACAAAGCACGAAAGAGCCTGATTAGGAGAAATCCCCGCTGTCCAGCGTCATGAGGAAAATTGATTGATGTCCGTCGGGGTTATGTGAAAATGAATGCGCATTAGTGGCCTGTGGAAAGGGGAAAGCAGCCGTATTATATCTTTTCCTCCTTTTCCGTCGCATCGTTTGCGCTGCGTTACTGCCATCAAACTGACCACGTTGAGCAACGCCGATTGCGATTTTGCGTCCTAATGCGCTCGGCTCTGCTCGGATGAACACACTAGGGGAAGCGTTATTATCATGAAATGGAGAATGTGAATATATTGTGCTAAAATAAATCCACGTTCTTTCCGTACAGTTTCGAAGGAGATTGGAATTTTGTTGTGGCATGTGGAGATTCTGCGTCGCGGCATTTAACAGGTCAATCTGTTTGCTTAGCCGAGTCGGCGAAAAATGCTGTCTCAAGTGTGTTGGCTGATTTTATTTTGGAGTGCTACCCGGTTATGTGTCGGTAAGTGGGTTTATTTGGATTATTTCCCTCAATTCAACTTGGCCGTGTTTGCATTTTCTTGTGCGCTTTGTACGCCAATGGATTGTACGAAAATCAATGTGATCAACGCCGCCGGGAGCTGCTATTTTAAACAAACAAATGTTGACACTTTAATCCTCGGCCACAAAATTATAAAACTCTCAGTCGAATGGTGGAATATTAGAAAAAACTAATTTTTGCAGCGATAATCTGGAAACATTACTATGTTAAAAATTTTGAGCCCGTAAAAGCACATTATTGCTGTTAAGCGTTGGATTTAAACTTGTTTTGTCTATAATGTGGTATGGACTCATCAGTACGGCAGAGTGCACACTGAATTTTTACTGCGACTCAGTATACAAATAGGGTTAAAAATTATGTTGCTTCGCTGAATTGAAAGTTCTAAATTTTTATGTAACAAATGAATATTCAGTGTGATACAAGAACACAAACGGGCTAATGAGAAATTATTGTAGATTATTGTACAATAGATACAGTAATCTACAGCAGTTTAATTAACAGTTTGCATGCTTATCGATCGCTGTATTTAAATTATCGTATTGAAATTCTATGCAAGTGCAGAGTAGTTTTTCCTTTGCACATTCATAACTTGTGTAATCAGCGAAAGCACAAGTTACGAACGTGCAAAAGTGTCTGATAATGAAATTATTTTGAGTTTTGTTTCTGGTCTAAATAGTAACTGGTTTCTGCTCTCAGTAGTATATGTACTAACTCAAATCATTTACTTATAATATTTTTCGAATGGACTTACATTTATCTCCGTTAAAGAGAATTAAGATTCCCCATAAATACGCATAAAGTGCCCTGTAAATTGATTTTCGCTGATTGATCGGCTGTATAATCGAATCTATAAAAATATCAGCTGTGATACCGCATGATATATTTGGGGAAACTTAACGAGAGCAATAAAAGGTAATGTTTTTATGAGCCTTATGCACAGACAGTCACACTGGCTTCGCTGTGCTAAAATCCGTTCCATTTTCCGTCACAGTCACGTTTCGATCTGGCTATTCGGGTTGATGCCACAAACGATGAAGTTTTGAGTGTCAATCAAGTCCTTATAAAACCATAAATTATGAGCTTGGATGCAACCTGCCGCTGCTGGAAAAAGCGAACGGTTTTTTCTTTATTTATGCTTTATAGACAATATTGTCTGCCGTCGGTCGATAGAAGAGATGACCAAAGGTTTAGCCTCTGTTGGAAATCAAATTATCGGTCACTGCATGGTAAACCGTAATGCGTCGTTTTTTGATAAATCAAAAGCACTCGTACAGTAAATTTTGAACCGAGTTATTTGAGTTTTATTTACATAATCACTTAATGAAATTATCAAAATGCCAGAGTAGGCAGCCCGTCGAATATGTAAGTAAGTAAGTTCCACTAAAATATTGCTATGCTAATGTTAGTAATGTACATAAAAATTAAACTAGTTTTGCGTATTACAAGAACATAACTGCAGGTATTCTGAGTGTACAACAAATTTATTAATTGGTACCACATATTTTCATAATTTGTCATCTAGATCGGTTGCGTGATGGAATAAGTAATGCTGGTATTCAGAGTCGAAGAAATAACGAGCGAGCACTAATTTGGTAATTAGAATAATGACGATGTTTAGCCCGTGTTCCACCGGAAGGAGCATTTATGTCGTTTGCAACACATCTGTCATGCTGTGTGCAGGAGTCTGTGTAAACAGCATCTAGCGGGTTATTGCCACTATTTCCAAACAGTCAAACAGAAGCGTGATCAAGCACCATTAGCCTGCACACAATACCATAATGTATCGTTCGCTTCCGAACTGCACACTGACGGCAAATTAATGCACGCTCATGATCCTGTCTGCTGTGACTGTAGACGCCTCGGATACATTCTACTTCACAGCTGAACCGGAAGCCCGCATCAGCGTCATCGAGGGTCAGCGGCTGATCCTCCCGTGTGATGTCTCGGAGCACGAGCACATTGACTTCCATTGGACCTTCAATAACTACCTGATCGAGAACAGTACACGCCGCTACCAGAACGGCTCCCAGCTGATCATCGACCCGGTGTACCGGCTGCGGGATACCGGGCAGTATCAGTGTACGGCACGCAATGCCTCCTCGGGATTTTCCCGGTCATCGCGACTGGCGGAACTGGACATTGAATGGCTGGATTACAGTGTGGCGGTGCGGGCCGTGGAGGGGGTAGCGGGGGGATTGGATCTCCGGTGTCAGGCGCAGGGAATTAATCTGGGATACCGCTGGTACCGGAATAATGTGGAGATCGCCGTGGACGGGCAGCGGGTGACGATGGAGGAGGAGCGGCTCGTGATACGCAGTTTATCTGTGGCCGATAACGGGGTGTACTCGTGCACGGTGAAGAATGGCTTCGGGGAGGTGGATAGTAGTGAGGATTATGTGGTGACGCTCAAGGGAAATGATATCGCCAATATTAAGGTTAGTGGTGCCGGGCTACCGGTTATCTGACAGGAAATTAAGCCAAAATTTACTATATTATCGTGGTGATATTTCGTAAAATTCGTGGAGGTGGAGCATGGTAATTGGCCAAACTGATTACGAAATATGTCTCGGCTGTCACTCATCCATCCGGATTGAATTAGCACTGCCGGTAGGCGACGGTCAGAGGTAACTTGCGTCGCTATGGCAGCCGCATGGATGGCGGCTACCGGAAGTTCCGGTCCGGAAGTCGTTCTTCCGGCTGGCATATTAATTTTATGATGCAGCAGTCAGCAACGCAGTACTGACGGGAATGCGAAAACAAGCTGCCGTTTGAGTGCAAATTTCAAGTTGCAGCGTTAATTCAATATACGCCCAGCTTTTTCAAAGCAGCTTCAATTTTGTAGAAGCAGGCAATTCTACTTAAAAAAACCCTGTGCGTATGAGAAAATCCAAAGGAACCTGCACGGTAAAGTTGAAAATTCAAACGGCGATATTCGTAATTGCAAGACGGTAGTAGGTGAGCAATGACACAAACACAATCTGAATTTCGGACATGTTCGGCAACAACCCCCAGCGTCCCCCCACACCCCAAAACGATGTTGCCAAAATTTTAAGTTTTTGGCAACATCACAAGCTGCTTGCCAGAGCCATGCTGCCGAGCAAGACATGATTCCAAACGGGACGAAAAAGGCTAGCCAATCACAATCGTTCAGTGACGTCATGAATTTTTAATTTCCGCCGGCAGCATCAAAAACATTTATCGCCAGCAGCACGCCCTGAGTTTTCGCATTCGCATCACTTACGCATGTCGAATAGACAGTCACGAATAGTGAAGTTTTTTATAATTTTTTGTAATTTTATAGTTCAAAACTTTTGACTTTTCCATTTTAAAAGTAAAACTTTGAAATCTGAGTGATTAAAACTTTAATTTTTTAAATCTTATGTCATTATTGATTATTCTTGTGATATTCTTGTCACAGTATTAATATCAGCCAAAGGAAATTGTTATCGTGCCTGATTGCTGACCAGTTCTTCACTTTGGTTATGAGGTGAATCTTTGTGGTGCGCAGTTAAATTGCTACAGTTTGCAAACAAAGAGCAATCCAGATTGCGGTAATTTGGATTGTTCTTTGTTTGCACACTGTAGCACCGTTGTTAGCATGACGGCAGTATGCTGCTCTTAGACTGAAACTTTCGTTGCACGGTATATCAAGTTATCAACATCCTCTTATGATAGTCTTATCCCGTATCTGTTGCTGGATTCAGGTGCTGCCAAAAGACGTGACAGTCCGACTGGGTGCTCCAGCACAGTTCGACTGCGTTTTCGAGGATGCCGTCAAAGTGGAATGGTATCACCGCAGCGATGATGTCTTGAAGAACTCCACGGGACGGCGGACTCTCTATCCCAATGGCACGCTCTTCCTCCCCAAAGTTAAGCCGGAGGATGAGGGATATTATCGCTGTGCGGGATATCGGAATGACAAGGACACCAGGACGCGACAAGTGTACACTACGCGGCTCAAAGTTGCGCGTAAGTCCAAGCACTGGGATTTTTTACTTTTTTTATACTAATACTTAACTAATCGCCTTTTATTATTTTTCAAATTTTTATTTTCAATTTTTTGGCTCTAATCATTTTAAATTTTGAAAGCAAAAATTAATTTTGATTACTGCTCCTGATGAAGACAGAATCTGATGGACTCATTTTGTTATTGTTGAATTTTTGAAATCAAATTACCTGTATTTTGGACTATTTCTCTTGATAGAGACAAATTTGATGGATATTTTTTCATTGAACATTTGTAAGTACTGTACTTACTAATACTGTAATTTTCTTCATTTTTCTTTGTAGCGTATCATTGTATGGATTATGGACAGTTGAAATAAATTTATACTGTTTTACGGTTAAAATTTATGTTCTGCAATTTGCTGCGTATATTGCTAATCAAATTCAAAGACGCTTGATTTTTAGTTTTTACATTCGTTTCACGTGAAGATATCTGTAGATCTGCCGGTGTTATCGCGAGGGAATTTATTCCCCCGCCCGACCGTCAACAACCGCTACATCGCCAAGTCGGGATCGACGCTGGAGGTGTACTGCAATGCCAGCATGAAGGAGGCATTCCCGCGTCCCACCGTCGAATGGACCAGCGGGAAGGGCGTGCAGGTGGCCGCTGGGCCGTTCTGGCTGATTGAAGGTGTGCAGACCAGTCATGCCGGCAACTACACGTGCTCCGCTCGTACACCGTTTGCTGTGGAAAACTACACCGTCTTCCTTATTGTTACGGGTATGTAGATGCTGGATTGAACTCGCAGACAGATCACGTAATCCAACAAAAACCGAAAATTACTACGAGCGCTACTTGTACTTGTACTGTCTTATTTAACGTTACTTTCGATCTGTTTATCAAGTTCTCTGCTTTCGTACTTATTTCTTTAGTAGTATGGCCTACTGTGACTTTTTTATGGTAAGTTGTTTTTGCGACACTACCGTAATGTAGCGATAAGCAAAATGTATGCAGTGGTACTGGAGTTATTGTAGTGTACTGTCAGCATGGATTCGGCGAATGCGATCGTCCGTATCCTGACTTCATAAATCACTGTAATTGAATTGCTAGTCGAAAAAGAATACAGTTTGAACTAACGATATGAAATATTTTTCTTATGGTACCAGCAAAATTCTAGTTTTGTTTTCCAGTATATTTTCTTATAAAGCGATATGGATATGTTGTACAAATTATCGTGATAACTATTGGCATTACTTCTAGTTGGCTTACAATTTTCTGCGGTGGTTCAAGGGATGTTTTCTTTAATTGCTATAGTGCCGCCGGTTATTTCGCGGGAGCCGTCCGACGTAACGGTGAATGAAGACGCTTCCTTCCAGTTAATCTGCTCCTACAAAGGCTCCCCGCCGCCCCTGACCGCCGTCACCTGGCACCGTTTCCCCGCCGGATCCCGCCAGTCGATCCCCATCACCATGGGAGACCGTTGGAGCGTCACGTTTCGCGATACATCCAGTGTTTTATCCGTTAGTCGCGCCGTGGCCGACATTGACGCCGGCCAGTATCGTTGCCAGGTGAAGACTAACGGGTTTGAGCCGGTATTGTCGGAGCCAGCCGTTGTGAAGGTGCGCGAACGACTCAAGTTTCTCAACACACCGATGAACCAGCATTTAATTCTCAACGAACACGAGAAGGTGGTATGCGCGGTCAAGTCGCGCGATCCCGTTACCATTCAGTGGAGTAAGTTACGTTCTTGCTATTTTTTTTGCTTGCTTGATTACCGTTAGTAATTATTTTTGCTTGATTAAACGGTTTACTGCTGCTTACGAGAAAAAAGTGATTGTGGATCGGATTCAGGATTACTTTGAGAATTACATTAGTTTTGTACTTTTTGATGTAATGCCGTTACTAAACATGAGCCATAAATAATTAAGCATTTTCGGTTTTAAGCGATTGAATTCGTCAAGAAATCATATACCGCGCATTCGCTACCCTAGATGGCGGAATTAACGTTATTTAACGAAGCTCAATAATATGCTAAAATAAGGTAAATTTAACTGAATTAAATATTGATAATTCTGGTAATGGCTGTTGTTTTCATAGTGCAGTGGCAGGTTTCATCGACGTGAGGATCTGACAGCCACATATTCATAATCAACAAAATCAAGCCGTCGTAGTTATCGTTGTAATTTATTGTCTTACTATAATTTTTAAAGGACAGTAATTTTTCTAATCAGAAGCGATTCAGCTTGCTGCAATCAGTTGTGTCGTGTCGTATTTACGGTATTTCACATCCGGGGAACACTGAGTTTGTACCGTAGTTTGTACCGTACGGTACAAACTCAGACTCAACTGCGCATTGACTTGTTTTCAGCTCAAAAATATTTTAAGCATGATTAATAATGATTATTTTCTTCTCTTTACAGGTCTACACGATGGTAAACCCTTCCCGCAGCATGTCAAACCCCTGCCCAACGGCACCCTGTCCTTCGAGGGCGTCCAGTACTCCGACCAGGGCTCGTACCGGTGCTCGGCCAGTACCCGCACAGAATCCCTCAACGCCACCATCCGCATCGACGTGGTCACCCGGCCCGTCTTCACCGTGAAGCCTGCGGAACGCATTGCGGTCGTCAGCGGCACCACCCTGGTCCTGCACTGCAACGGCACCGGGGATCCGCTGCCGGTGGTGCACTGGAGCCGCACTAACGAGTTCAATCAGACTGTCGAGGGACGCTGGGAAGTCCTGGAAAACGGGAGTTTGCTCATCGGGGCGGCACGGATGAACGATTCCGGGACGTATGCGTGTACGATCGGGAGTAAGGGCGGATTCGATCGGGCCGAGGTGAGTGATTGAACGCTGCAGAAATGTTATTTATTGTTAGTTTAGTACTTGTTTTCTTATTTACTGTTAATAAGACGTGCAGATAATTAATATAATATGTGGGGAATTTGATTGTACATATGCGTAATTATTTTGGAAGTTTGATAAATATGTTTATTGGCTCAACTGCTAGCGTCGATTGGATCGTGTAGCAATTGCTGTTTCTTGTTTAATTCTGCAAGTTATCAGCACTTGACTGCATGAATACTGAATATTACGTATGGATGGAAAGCGGCACTGTTACGAGCGAACAGACCTTGGTAATGCAAGAAATTCATTCAGACAACAAGCAGAGAAGTCGAAGTAAACCGGGTTGATCGTCGATCACAGAATCATCATAAAAAAATTTCTTTTGCGTCGAGCCCCTGTTTAGTTTCACTAACTGCCACATGGTGGACAGGTGGTACCTCCGTATGTGCCATTATTCTGCGATCAACTACTCTGTACATTGTAATCCCGCTTCCTGATTCATTCAGATTCACATATTTACTTGTTCATTTGGTAACATGGATCTGATTGGGCAACTCGTTGTTTTGCTGGATATGGAATGTGTTGCGGGAAGCGATCAGAAGCGGGATGATATTATTATTATGATAAATGGAAAGATACTTGCCAATGAAATTACCTGAATAATAAGCGTTTTATTCGTTGTAGACCGTCGTGATGGTTCACATGGAGGCACCGTCGACCGTCACCCAGACCATCAGTATTACCATCGCCTGCGCGGTGTGCTACGTCCTAGTGGTCCTGGTGATGGTGGTGGTGTGCAAACGGAAACGTGCCCGCAAGGCGGAAGCCTCCAGTCAGCCGATGGCCCCCTTCTCACCCACCCATACCGCCTCCTATCCCGGAACCGGTCCGGAATCCCAGGCATTGCTCATGCAGAATACATCCGTCCATAATCCGTTTGCGTTGACCCATCCGCAGTCGGCAACGTCGCAAAGGCGGCTAGAAAAAGCGGGGATCATATCCGGTGGAAGCGATGACTGCCGGTAATGTTGAGTGATAATTTACAATCGAAATGTAATTTAAATAATTCATTCAGACAAAGAAAGAAAACAGTTAATGGCCGATTTCAGAAATATTGTACTAGTATACGAACATGCGGTACAGAGATGAGTGTCGATCGCAGCATTATCCCCAAAACAGTTTTTTACTGGAGAGACAGTTATGAGGTTAATAACTGGCTGCAACGACTTTGTTTACTTATCAGCGACAATAAATGGTTTATAAAATTGCCAAATAATTTATGAAACCTATATAATTTTTTTACATACAAATAGTTAACACATATGCGTATATTGTTTATAATTAATTAATTATGGAATTTAAATTTTCTTAGTCCATTCTGCTGCATGTGAATTTTCTATAATAAACTACGGTGAATTTATGGGTAATTTGATAATTATTGAAAATTTGAAATATGCGAGTTGAATGGTTTACGTCGGTAAGATTATGTGTCACCAAACCGGAAAAATCTGTCTTTTATTTCAGTTATGTATAATTTATTTTTCATTTACCTATGTGCATTTTATCTGTTTCATTTTTCAAAATTTTGTACTGAATTTGTTTCTTTATCTATGCAAATTTGTAGGTATTCACCGATTACCAGCTCGGCGTATTCCAGTGCCGTGAACAGCAGCAACAGCAGCGGAATGTATTTCTCGCGGAATCAGCTGATCAATAAAAAGCTGCTGGGACGGGGACATTTCGGTGAAGTGTTGGTGGCGGGGACGCGCGACTGCCCGTACTCCTTCGTGATGGTCAAGACGGTGCAGACCCGCGATGAAGAGCTGCGCAAACGCTTCAACACGGAGATGGACATGCTGTTCCGCGTGGACCACATGAACGTGGCCAAATACGTGGGCTTGTGCCGGGCGACGAGCAGTCATCCGGATTGGGTACTCTTCGAGCACTACGAGTACGGGGATCTCTGTGGATTTGTGCGGACGCACAATAAACGCCTGACCATGTGGCTGCTGCTGGATTTCGCTCATCAGATTGCTCAAGGTAAGACATGATGGACGTGAAGCGGCCTTTTTTGTTAGCTCCTACTTGATAGAGCGGAAACCAAATAATAAGTAAACTGCAGGGCATAAACACCTACCCCTTTATCCTTGCCCGTTGTTTTCGGCTTTTTTTAGGGAATTTTCCTGCATTTTTTGGGAATTTTGCCAAATTTTTTGAAAACACAATTAAAGAATTAATTTTTGATTGTGCGATCTGGCATTTATTAACGAAATAACGTGAACTGGAGTTCGGGCAATAAGCGCTGATCATGATACGTGAAAGTAATTTTATATATTTTTATTTAAATTTGAGAATTTTTCAGCTAGCAAGTGCTGTGAAATGGTGTTAGCGCCATTGTTACGAGTACGACTGGGCGGATTCTGTAGACTTCTTAAGCTTTTCTAAAATCGATGTTTTTTATATTTGACAGTCTGAAATGCCGATTTGAGTTTATTATTAAATTTTCAGTTTATTTGTTTTTAACGGGCGGAAACTGTACAGGCCGAAACCGTCGTCACGGAATTTCACTTGTGTTTTGGAGCTGTCGAAAACAAGCAGACCCTAATAATTCGGAGAATTCACTTAAACATTAATTACAGTACTATAAAAAATAGCGATTTATTATTGAATTGCAAAAATACAGTTGGAGGTGATTGCTGAACAACACGTTATCCTCAAAAAACGAAAATCATGCAGTTCAGAGATAAGTTAAGAGATAAGATGCTAAACGTTCAGCAAAATGGAATGGGAGATCAACAAGAATGTGCCATGATTCTACGAGAATGTGCCATAAAACATAAGTACTTCTGCAGTATACGTTCTAATTGACAAGTGTTTACAAAGTTTTGCGTAATGCTCACAGATCACAGTGTCAGATGGTCGAATTTCCTTACAGGTATGCAGTGCATCTCCGAAGCCCGCTACATCCACCGCGACCTAGCCACCCGCAACTGCATCGTCCAGGTCAGCCCCGGCGGCCAGCCCATCATCAAGGTCAGCGTCATGTCCATTACGCGCGACGGCGCCTACGACCGCGACTACGTCCAGCAGCACAACCAGCTGATCCCGCTGCGCTGGATGCCGGCGGAGGCGGTGTTCGAGGATGAGTTCAGCGTCAAGAGCGACGTCTGGTCCTTCGGTGTGGTCTGCTTCGAGCTGCTGACGCTGTGCCGCGTACAACCGTATGCGGAATACTCCGACATCGAGGTGTCCAAGTGTCTGGAGACGGGGACGCTGGAGCTGGATTTGAAGGAGGTGGGCGGGGAACAGAGCCGGAAGTTGATCCGGCAGTGTCTGGAGAAGAACCCCAAGGATCGGCCGACCTTCGGGATGATTGTCAGTCTGTGGGCGTGCTATTACAAGTCGGATGATAGTTCCAGTGAATATCAGGAGATTGGGCCGCGATTCGCGTGAGATTGACGGAACTGTCGGTGGAAATGTTTTTTTATGTTTTTATTGTTGAAGATGTTCCGGTTTACTTTCGTGCTCAGTGTGTTGTTGTTGCTTTTTTTAGACAGTCAGTGACTCACTTGGTCGAGTGTTTCTTGCCGGTTGTGAAATCAAAAGCGTAATTTGCTCACGTTCGATGTTCAGGTGCAAAATATAAAATGATCGCTATAAGCGACGTCATTCTCAAAAAAGAATACGTAACACTTCAATTTGACAACCAGTATGAATTTAACATATACGATTAACAAACACAATGGAGTTATGCAATCGGTGGATTTGCCATTACTCTACGATTAGCTATTGAAAAATGCTATCCTGCATTTGCCACTATTAAGGGATTTGGCCCGGCACATAGCACCAAATTTGTATACATCCACGGCAACTTTCTCTGTCGCGCACTCCCAGCTTTATGATATTTTGTAGCCAAAGGATTTATTTACGTAGGCGTGAAATCCGTTTGCGCGCGCAGCATCCGGTTTGGGAGTTAGTAATGAAATAAAATTTCAAAAGTTTAAACGCGCGGAGGCGTACCAAAAGTCTCATTATGAACCGATACTCTTCAAATTTTGCACGAAAGCGCACATTACTATGAAGATCGTTTTGGTACCGAACCAGCTTTCTACCATTTTTTTCAAATTTTAAATTAATTTTTAAAAATTTTGGTATGCCTCCGCGCGTTTAAACTTTTGGAATTTTATTTCATTAATAACTCCCGAACCGGATGCTGCAAAGTGTTTGGGAGTGCGCGACAGTGAAAGTTCCCGTGTATGTACCCGAATTTGGTACTACAGAGAAACTCCTCTTAACATTCACCTTCCTATAACATTCACCCCTTTACTACATGCATGAGGCTGGGAACCAAACCGTCCGGTAGACTATAACACAGGGGCAGTTCTCTTTATAACATTCACCCCTTTACAGCTATAACATACACCTTTTATGGAACCGGTAACAGTTTTACCAGCTTATTTAACCCCTGCGTAACATACGGTTAGCTAGGCTAGTACAAAAAACCATTTCGGTGTCTCTAAAAGAAAGTTCCGGCTTCTATTTTAAATCTGTTCAGCACCGGATGTTCCAACTTCAAGCTTACAAAAGGGCAGCAGAACCAACATTCAGACCGAATAATGTCCACACTCTAGTATTTTGTTAATTTTTTATTAAGTAACACCCCCAGGGGCTTTGCCCCTAAGCCCCTGAAGGCAGTGCCCCTGGGGGCAGTGCTCCTGTTTAACATACACCCCGCTATAACATTCAGAAAGCCCGGAACGGAGGGTGTATGTTGTAGAGAAGTTTCACTGTATGTACCGGGCCGAATCCCTTAAGTACTTTTGCAGCCATGCAGCATTAATACTTAAGGGCAAACTATAGTCCTTAAAATATGAAATCTATACAAAGAAAAACTTTTGTATGATAAGTTCTCATTAACCTTTCACAAATATTCTAAACGTCGATTATAATAAATTAATACATTCAGCATCAAGCAGTTGTTAACTTTTCACCATGTTCTCCTGCTCACAAATGGTGAGTATAAAATTTCGACACTCATTGAAAAGGTGTGATACGTACATATACCCGTACATCAGCCTTTTCTTCGCATTTATTAAATAAATTACCGAAACCACACTTTTTACAATGAGCATCCGTAGGCTACCATAGATTCCTTTTAAAGCCCTTTTTCAACCATTTTAAAAGATAAAAATCACTTTAAAAACAAAATGCCAGAAAATACGTGCAATACACCATGCAAACGTGAAAGATTAGATGCAGTTTTAACCACCAACAAACCAACAAAAATTCCCAACACATGTGCGTAATGGACGGCGAGCACCAATATTCGCTGAGGAAATTACTGCGCCACTTGCTCCTTTTTCCTGGCCAATCCCTCCCGCGATTTAACTCGTTCCTGATCCATCAGCAAATAAAACCCTTTAGCATCACATCCCATATTCCGTCCGCGCGCCAACCCAAAGATCACCTCCTCCGGGACCCCAAACTGCCGGTATAGCTCGTACATCTTGTCGGCCGGAAGCACCATCTTATTCTCCAGCTTCTGCCAGATTTTCCCGAACGCCTTGGTCCCCTTGTCCACGATGCCTTTGAAATCCTCGATCTCCTTCGTAATGGTGGCCTGAATGACGGCCTCCCGTTCGGCGATCTCGGGATACGCCGGGCCCAGACTCTGGACGATCGTGGGCACCAGTTGCGCCCAGAGAAGCGGATCGCTGTGCAGTTTGTTGGACCAGGTCAAGGCGGCTCTCCGCAGGACTTTACGGAGGACGTAGGGAGCACCGCGCTTGTCCGGGAGCATCCCGTCGGCGATGGCCACCGTGCACATGCGCGCATGATCCGCCAGGATGCGGTAGGCGGTGAACAGGCCCTCGTGGTCGTCGTCGCCGAATTTCGATTGGTAGGGCGGTGTGCCCGCCAGCTGTAGAAAGCAAATCCTTGATAGAAATTCACAAAGGAAATAAACAACAAATTTACATTTAAAAACGAGATCCCGGTAAATTTAAAAAATGATAATTTTAAAAAATACATTCCCGGACGACCACCGAGCACCTCATCCTCCATTAAAAACTATATCACAGTTACAACCAGCTTTACTTTATAGGACCTCGCACTGGAGTTGGAAGTCGTGTCGGGACATCGGCCCTTATTCTGCGATTAGCGTTCAGCAGCATTGTTAAAGTTCCTCTAATACTGCTGCACATTACATGGTGTATGCCAAAAAGTACATTTCAAAATTAAATTTCAAAACTAAACAAATTTCAAAAATTTAATTTTTAAATATTCAGGAAACATCCTTTAACATACGAACAGTTTTAATGTTAAACTTTTAAATATATGCAAACTGTTTACGAAATTTTGCATGTTTTTAGAAATTTGTTAAAATCTGCAAGCGATACTTAAAACAGCACATTCAACACGCGTTCCGAACTAAAACAACTACTGTGAAAACGCTGAGAAGAACAACAAAACCGTAAAAAAAAGAGATTCGTTCGAACTAACAGCCAATTCACTGCTCAAGAGTAAAAAACCAAATCACTCCTTAAGAGTTAAGGCTGAACAAACAAAGCGTGGACTTCGCTCGAAGGAATATTTGGACGCTCACAAGCCATTTTTCTACAATTAGTTGTGTTTTTATCAAGGAACTAGATCTATAATACAACTACATAAAAATTGAGGAAATGAGATCGGGAAAACTATAGCATATCGGAAAAAACTGTAAACGCTATCAGGTTCAGCATGTTTAGAAACTGTGTCACATGATTTTTATCTTTCAAAAAAAATAATTTTGGCCGTAATACTCATGCCGATACCGGTGAAGCTGGCTCCGGTACAAGTTTCAAGGTCACCTTGAAACAATAGTCATTGCAGTTGCTTGGATCTATTAAAATAAAACTTAAAAAGGCATTAATACTCTTATCAAGGAACAAGATCTATAATATAACTACAAAAAAAGATGAGACATCGAGATCGGAAAAACCAGAACCTAATTAAAGAAACTGTAAACGCCATTAGATTCAGCATGTTCAGAAACTGTGTCACATGCATTTTACTTCTTTAAAAAAACTGTTTAAACCCGTCCCACCGTTGCCGGTTTCGGCAAAACTAGCTTCGGTAAAGTTTCAAGGTGACCTTGAGAATAATAGCATTGCGAGTTGCTTAGAACATTTATTAAAGCATTTAAGTACGTGCTAAATAAATTTGTAGTTATTTTATCTGCAAATGTCTAAAAAAATCCGATTTCCCAACCATGGTTAAATTAGCCCTGGTTTCGAAGAAAACAAAACCTAGTTAATAAAACTGCTAGGGCAGTGTCCAATGAACAAAACAAAATGGCTAGGTGAGTGAGTCGACCGAGCCACCACCACTGTCCAGTGAACAAAATCGTTAGGTGAGTGAGTGACCGAGCTACGTACCACCACTGTCAGTGAACAAAATTACCAGATGAGTGAAAGACCGAGCTAGGCTCCTTGCCTAAGAAGTTTTACAATAACTGCTAAGGCAGTTATTGAATTTCCTAGCGATTTACTGTAAATGGAATGATTTGTTCAAAGCGGCCGTGGATCACAAGAAACGCGGAGGCGAAGCCGCAGCGGTTTCTTGTAAGCAATACTGCTGCATTCAAAGATTTCTTTTACACCGATAAACTCCAATAACACAGAAAATTTGTGTTTACAAAGCTAGGTTTTAATTTGTATTTTTTTTAAAAATTCCTTGAAAATTCGTTTTAACAAACTCAAAAATTATTAAGATCTAGAAAACCCATCGTGATGATTCTATAAAGAAAAAAATCGCCAAAAAACAGGGGGAAAAGGAAACAATTCCAGCATTTGCTGACATGATTTACCTCGGGGATTTTCTGCAGCAGGGGCAAAAACAAATCCGTATCGTAATTACTCTGCCGGTCCTGCAGCACTGCCACCAACCGCTCCAGCCCCATCCCCGTGTCGACATGCTTGACCGTCAGCGGCTCGAGAATCCCACGGCGCGTGCGATTAAACTGCATAAATACCAGATTCCACACCTCCAACAGCTTCTCCGCACTCCCGTCCATGGAATAGTGGATCTCCGTGCACGGGCCACACGGGCCCTCCTCCCCCATCGCCCAGAAATTATCATCCATCCCCCGCGGAATTATCTGCGATTCGGCTATCCCGATCCGCCGCCAGATCTCCCGACACTCGAAATCCGGCTGCAAACCCACCTCGGGATCTCCGCCAAAGTACGTCATGTATAGACGGGATTTGGGGAGTTTATAGACGTCCACGAGGAGATGGTAGGCTAAAGTGCAGGCTTCCTGCTGGAAATAATCGCCAAACGACCAGTTACCTAAAAATATTCACAAAATCAACTGAAAATTAATTAATCTGAAATTTAGTGTTATTTTAATATATACAATTTTTTAAACTAATTATTAGGAAATTAATTTTAATTTTTAAGAAAACTGCTCCAATGAAAAGCTGCGCAGACAGGAACTCAAAACTCAGTCAGGCACATACTATTTATGCTTCTGGGTCGCTGCATTCGCACTTGTTTTATTTAGGATTAGTTCAAATTTATTAAATTTGCACGTCTAAAATTTTGATTTATTTCTACAGATTATGCTGAAATTAATTTTGATTTTTTGAGAAAACTGCTCCGATGAAAAAGCTGCTCGATGAGAGCAAACTTACATTTTAGGCAAATAAAATCCTTGGGTCGCTTCTCTCTTGCTGGTTTCATTTAGAAAATTCACTGAAAATTTAGTTTACTTTTTTAATTTTCAAAAATTTATACAGAAATTAATTTCAATTTATTGGCGAAATTGCCTCGACGAAAAAGCTGCGCGACGGCAAATCCAGGCACCCAAGTTCCCTGGTTCGCTGTGCTCGCACTGCTTGTTCGACAGCTTACCGAGCATCTCAAAATACGTGTGGTGTCGCCCGTCAATCCCCACTTCATCCAGATCATTGTGCTTGCCGCCAGCGCGGATGCATTTCTGGGAGTTCGCGACGCGACGGTGCCGCGGTGCTTCGGTGCCGAGCAGCACATGCTTGAACTGGTTCATGCCCGCGTTCACGAAGAGCAGGCTGGTGTCGTTGTGGGGCACGACGGAGCTGGAGGGAATGATGGTGTGGTTGTTCTGGGCGAAGTAGTCCAGGAAACGGCGGCGGATTTCATGGCTGGAGAGCGGCTCGATGTGGAGATACCGACGCAGGGGGGACAAGGTGCGGACTGCGTGGAGCAGGGGCTGGCGCGCTGCTTGCAGGGGATGCAGTGCCAGCGGCATCCTCGCGGCAACGGAAAAGATTGGTATTTGTGATTATTCGATTTTCTGCGGAAAAATTACTACCAGTAACTATCCAAAATTGACGGCGAAATCAACTGTAATCACGACTAGAAAACAAAATATGACAATTTACACAGTGATCGTAAACAGTAGTGTCGACTGTACGGACTGACCTGATTCCAAGCAGTAAGCTATCGGCGCACTTTGCTGTCGGTCTGTTGTTTGCGACTTTGCGCGGCGTACTTGTACATGTATCTGTACAGTGCAGACTGGCTGCACGGGCTTGTATGACCGGAAGCGTTTCATTACACGCAGTAAACATTTTTGTTATTTCCATTACGATTATCGTTGTCTCTTAGAATATGAATGGAATTTGTTTTCATGCTAGTGGCGTAATGTATAATATAAAATAAATATGAGACAATTACGCAGGAGTGTTATTTAATTAATAAGCAGTATCCTTGGCACAAAGCACAATACTCGTATACACAACGTAAACATACTTAAACTTCTGTCTATAATTATTATACTTATATGCTAATATTACGTATAACATTACGCTCCAGCAAAAATAGAAAAGTGTAGTGAAAGGGTTGACTTTGTTATTTGTCGCACCGATTAGCCTTATCATGTCAGTATAACACTATGGCGTTAAAGCTGAGATTGTAGCAAACAACACTTTTTACCTGTACGTGGCAAAAAACAGTAGTTCGGAGAAGCAGACCAAAGTGACATGTTCTTGTGTTACCACAAAATACAGGTATTCGCAATACCTTCTATGAGTTCGCTTCCTAATTGCTGATAATTGTATCCCATGGGTTATTAATTAATTTTATCACATAGGTTAGATGTTTCGATCGATCGGAAATGAGTAATACTGTATAAATAAATAATATAATAATATATAAAATAGTATAGAAATTAGTATTACGAGTATAAGTATCTTGAATTACTAGTACTGCAGTTTACTGTACTGTCTGGACGTGATATATTCGCCGGAAGCAATGAGAAGAAATTTCGACTGTGTGAGATTCCTGCTTTTATATTCTTTGCTCGCTCAGCATGGCCCAATAATTTGACTCATCTTCCATTTAACCTTCATTTTATTAAATTTGTTTAAGAATGACGGGTGTCTTGGAAATTTGTGAAGGGTCAAAAACAAAGCAAAACGTATATTAACCATTGGTGTATTGTATTGGGATTTTAAAATGACTGATAGTGTACGTAAAGTGTGTATAATAAAGTGTAACACAGTTTTGTAAAAAATACTGTTTTGTAAGTATTCATACTTAATGCTAATCGTAGAATAATGGCATAGACATGAGAACGAATATCCCATTATGGATATTCTACAGGTACACGCACGTGTTAACCCTATTAAGATAGTAGACTGATTATTATTTTAAATAATTTTTATTTTGTGCAGTTTTTAGGAATCAAAAGTGGCCGGACACGTGAGTCAATTAAGTACGTCAATTTAACGTGTGTGATTCATATTAATTTTTGTTCTTTACCGTAAACGACGACCAGATTCTGCAGTACGTACTTGTAATTTCCGGCTGCGTTTACCAGTTCATCGCTCACGACCATACGTTCACGCTACCTTCTGATCGTTCACAAAAACATCGACGTGCGTACGTTCAGAAAAAAAACAGCAACAACAAAATTGAACTCACGCGTGCAATTAAATTATTAGTGAACATGTACCTGCTACAGTGACGAACAAATACACAAAAAATACGGTGGAACAATGGAGCAGCCCGGCATAACAATCAATATTTGCTTATAACAGCGACTTTGCTACCACTGAATCGCTGATTCATGAAATGCCTTTAGAAATTAATCCGGCAACAAAACAAGATCAAATTCATATAATTATATAATATGGATCAACCACCTAGTGTATATGTACTTAGTGTATATTTACTTATTTGGCGCAAATTTTTCAGTGAATTTTTTATTGCGAACTGCTCAAACCCTTGGAAAATTTTAGAGACAATTTCCCTTTGATTTTTATTTATATCTAGACTTTTTTTTAAAAATGATGTTCTTGTTAAATCTCCGGTGTATTTCGGCTGGGATTACATTTTCTGCACTAATAGCCATTTTGGTATTGGCCACTCAGATCACGGACAGCGCGAATGTACAACAAAAGCAGCGGAAACTGCAGCAAAGGCAGAGAAATTCACAGCAAAGCCAAAGGACCTCATCGCAGCAACAAGCGGTAGTCAATAGTGTATCCAAGGACCAGATAACGGAAATTGTAAACCTGCATAACAAATACCGCAGTTCAGTAAAATCCAGGGATATGCGGAAGTTGAAATGGAACACTGATGCGGCCAAATCGGCACAACGCTGGGCCGATACGTGTCCGGATGGACATAATAAAGACACTGACCGGCAAACGCCAGGTAGGTACCGTTAACGGGAAATATTGGGAAACAGTAAATTAAATAAGTAAATAACCCGAAAGTTTTTTTATTTCGTCGATCGGCCATCTCAGTAAAATTCTAACGATATTAGGCATTTCAAAAATTAATAGCGAACTGGTGGTGCTTCCAGGTTTCGGTAAGTGCGGCCAGAATATCGCCTGGAGACAAGGTACAGCGGCGTTTTCATGGACCAACGCCATTAATCAGTGGTACAACGAAGTGAAGTACTTCCGGTACTGTCGGCAGCCCACGGGTCCGGTGGGGCACTATACGCAGGTGCGTCAGTGGATTTATAAAATTTAGGAAGTGTGACCTCTAACCATGGTGTCTGTATTGTATAGTTGATGTGGGCCAATACGTCGGTAGTCGGATGCGGCGTTCGTAGCGGTTGCAACAATCTTGGCACGAATACTATTGTGTATGTCTGCAACTACTGTAACGGGTACGTCAATTTCTTATGCGGCTTATCCATCATCGTTCCTGATAGGGTTAATATTGTAAAAATTAATTCCAGTATTTTTTCAGGGGTAATATTATGTTAAACAACGACCCGAACTCACCATACTGCCCATGGAAAGTCTGAAAATACTACACGCTGCAGAGACCATAATAATATGCATGGAAAATTTTCGAATGTTTTTTTTATCAAATTATCGAATGCGATGTTAGTTCAGCGTATTGTGCGCATTGTGGATTAAAGCACTACTTTCCTTTATCTGTACATGCATCCAATGTTTTTTTTTTATTTTTTTTGTACATTAATTAATTGTTAATTACGATAATTATTACTTATCTGAAATATGCTTTAATGTTTTTTTCATAATTACTGCGTTCAAGATTCCCGGTATACGTGCTTATTTACTGGAAATCAGTGCCACGAAAGAAGAATAAAAATTACTATACAGTATACAGTGTGACGCGCGTATAAGAAGATTAACCCAAATAAATGCACACTATAAAGCCAGTCTCAGTTAATTTAATACTTAAACTATTAAAATTACACAAATCTAATTGAGGAAGATGCGTTGCGCTGCACAGACTGTGTTAGCGTATAAGTCGCTTAAAATTGTACCGAAAATGCCTTTTACAGTAAAACCCCTCGTTACATACACCCTTATACAACATTCACCCCTTTATTATATACGTGCGGCTGAGAACCGGATTGTTCGGTGGATTATAACATAGGGGCAGTTCTCTATATAACATTCACCCCTCTATAAGTATAACATACACCTTTCGTGGAACCGCAAACAGTATTTAACATACAGTCAACCTCTGCGCTACATACAGCTGGTCGAATAAGCGCACAAATGTTTCAAAGAAAGTTCCGGTTTCTGTTTCACATCTGTCAATTAGTACAAGATCTGACAGTAAAAACAGCAAAAAGGCATTGAAAATTATTGGTTACCGGTTCATTCTGAAGCATAAAATGCCAGTAATACGGTAGCTTTTCGAAAAGGAATTCGTAAAAGAAGCGCTGCAGAGCCACTTTTCTGAGGAATAGCATGAATTTATTTTTATAAACGAAACATCAGCGGCACCGTGCGTAATTGCTATTGACCAATGTATGGCCAGCCCCCTGGGGGTAAGTTAATGAGCGCCCCCAGGGGCAGTGCCCCTGTGTAACATACACCTCTTTACAACATACGGAGAGCTTAGAACGGAGGGTGTATGTAGTAGAGGGATTTTACTGTATTATAGCCAGCTGCGCGAACTTGCATCCAGATTTTCTGCGTTCAAATTTTGTTTGTGGATTCCGTGTGCTTGTACATGTACTCCACGCAAAAAGATTTCTCTTAGGGATTCACAAAGATCAGTTAATGGTGAATATGGAAAATACGCTCCGGGCCGATCGCCAAGCGCACTACCATCGTCTAAAAGAATAATCATTTCAAGTTAACAAAAAATTATAATTTTGGTATTAACACATACAACTCATGATAGATTCAAATTATTGCCATTATGGCACTGGAATGACAGAGTGTTCACTAGTAGTACTATTGCCCTACAGTGGCCATTATTCTACGATCAGCAGCAATCTTTATACCGTTCTTACTTCTTGCACTTATCTTATACGATAAAAACAATATCTATATACAAATTTTCGCTTACGAAAATCTGCATAGTTTTTGACCTTTTAAAAAACTCCTTCAATGTCTGTAATAATATATTAAAATGGTTATTTGACTGTAAAACATTACTGAATACTGCGAAGGCAAACACTTACCCTAGAAAATGGAAGAAGGTAGAAAACTGTGCTTTTTAGCACAGTAAGTTAAGCACAGTAAGTTACTGTGCTTAAAAGCAGCATTTATTTCGGGAGTTTTCTTCAGCTGAGGCAGGAGGAAATCCATGGAGCAATACAACCAGCGGAACAACTGCACGCAATTGTTCAATAATCAATACACAGATCGTAGAAACCGGCATATTGCCATTAAACGGTTTGCAGTAGACGGATAGAGTATCACCGTCGATGTACGAGTATGTGTCACCATGTACTGTACCGGCAATATACGTACTGTACGTAGTATATCTTAGAACTGCAAGTAGTAAATGATTGTAATTAATGCTAATCGTAGAATACTGGCACATAAATGGAAATGTGTGGAAGGAATTCCATCGTTAACGCAATTTTAGTTGTAAAATGCACAGTGTTTAGATTTTCATACAATCGTGCAGTTGACCTTCGCGTGTCTGCCTTTTGGAGTTTTGCCATTCCCCCGAAAATTACCAACTGAGTCATTGTTGACGATTCAAAACGGCGTGTGATTGTTGTCCATTGTTCTTCCCCATGCGACGGACCGGCACCGGCATTATTTCCGGAAAGTACCGCGTAAATGCACCTCCCCAGGCTTTGGTTCGCATGAATTTTTGCCAATGTGACATCTACACAATAATTTTTTACATTTGTACGTAATTAAATACCGGTTGTAATGACACTGACGCCAGAGACAGCAAGAATTAAACGGTGGCTCGAGTACAATGCCGGCTTACAAAAATTTGCCCACTAATTTTCCCGTATGCAGATTGATTGCCACTCGATGCCCTGCGGAAATATCGTGAAGGTCATTTAGCGCAACAGTCCCTTGTCTCGACTGGCGGTAAATCTGGTATTTAAGCGCACGGAATTCCGTTCATATATCGCGGCGTGCGTTTAGTATACAGTACACAGTTATACCGTATACACTGGTTGTGGAATCCGTAGCAAAACTTCACCCAAAAATGTCTTCGTTGGTAGTTTGTGCTCTCCTTCTGACAGCCATTGTAGCGGTGGTCAACTGTGCGTCACCCGTCACGAAGCGCCAACAGAAAGAGATTGTAACCCTGCACAACCACTACCGGAACATCGTTAAGGCCAAGAATATGAACATGCTCAAGTGGAATGAAAAGGCCGCCCAAATGGCACAACAGTGGGCCAATACTTGTCCCACAGGGCACAATTCGAATGACGACAGAAATCTGGCAGGTAAGGACAAATGTCTACGTATATATGGACGAAACTAAAATAAATATACGTACATGGACTTAAATTATTGTAAATTATCTTCGCTCCTAAAATTTATATATGGAGCAACCATTATTACCGTTGCATGCATACGCTCCTTAATTTATTAATATTATAAGATTCCCATTTTACATATTGGCCGCATTATCATAATATTAGATTCTAATTTATGATATTTCCTAACCAAATCAAAGTGTATCTATTCTCAAAAAATACTTAATATACGGTAGGTTTCGATGGATGCGGTCAAAATATTGCTTGGCGAGAAGGCTCCGCGCTCTCCTGGAGCGACGCCATTAACGACTGGTTTGAAGAGGTTAAGAATTTCCGGTACTGCCGGCAACCAACTGGAAAAGTTGGACATTTCACGCAGGTATATCATGCCATAAAATAAATAAAAGGCTTACTTAAAAACACATTGAATATTACATATACAATACATTGTTGGATATCGACTGTAAGTTATATATGTCCGCTTGGCAGATGATGTGGGCTGACACCAAGGTGGTGGGATGCGGCATCAGAACCGACTGCAACAAACTTGGCAGAAACACAATTGTATATGTCTGCAATTACTGTGACGCGTAAGTATTGCACAATATATCTATAAGTATTCTGCTGACAACATTAGATTAGTACGTTTTTCAAAAGTATTTTTGCAGTGTGAACTTAACTGTTTTCCAAAGCTGTAAAATATATAATATTTTTTGGAACAGTATAGAAATAAAAACGCAAAACTCAGTATAACATTAATTATAACAACAGCAGAAATAAAATATCCGGATCAAGAGGAACAGTTTGCGAGTATTGGTGCAGATGTATTCTAAAGTGTGTTATGTAGATCTTATGCTTTTTGTACACTTTTTAACTCCTGTTATATTTTAGGGGCAATGTCATGATGGACGACGACATGGACTCACCTTTTTGTCCATGGAAAAATTAACAAAACTTGCAAATAGCTTTTGGTGATGGTCTCTCTAATCCGGCACAAAACTATACAATATATGTAGCGATAAATGTTTGTTGCCTGCATCGTACTCTGTATTTTATATACTTCATGTAGTGATACAAAAATTATGTGATGCTGCAGACTCATTGATTCTGCTGTTTGTATAAATGGCATGCTGGCAGTAAACGTGGCAAAATCTGGCGGTCCAGAGAATAAAATCAGCGGATAAAAATGCATCATCGATCGCTAAAACTAAAAAAAATATGCTCATTCACGTGCGCTCACCGCAAATTAAAAGGCCTAGGATCGTAATATAATATTAAGATTTTAAAAATAATACTGAAATTATCTCTTGTTGGGACTCCAAAAGGGATTTACTAAGAAAAACATTCTTAGAAACATTAGAACAAGCGCTTGTCAACAATTTTTAAATAAGAAAACTGGGTTGTTTAACAGCATTTTACCATATGGCTTAGTAAGCGCAAACTACTCAACTTGCTTTCAAGAGACACAACGATAAAATTGCTGTTCTCGCATAAAACATTTATTTTGTATTGTATGGATTACTGTCTATTATTTTGCAGTCGGCACTTTTCTTATTCATCGTTGACCTTTCCAAATATATAACATGCATCGGCCAGAGCTACTAATTGATGAAGCATGGTAAAAATGCAATGACAAAATGAGCAGCGTGTATGTCACATGAGCTGGTGCAGCATCCATCAACAGATAAAAGAATTTCCGGTTACTGCCACAACCCTGAGTTCCGACTCTTTCTAAGCGCATCTGAACGTTTTCGTAGTAAATCGTTACAGCCAGTGCTTGCGGCCAGTTACAACAAAGGAGTAGCCGCGCCACGCACGTGGATACAGTATGTCTGGGCCAATGTAATGGCATAATCCTAATTTTAGGTGCACGACATCTGCAGTGTTATGAATGTAATGTACTGCATAATTCACAGGTACCTAATTCCAAAACAATGTACATGATCGTTTGATTCGTTTCCACAATTTTAGCGTTTAATAACAGTTATCTTTTGAGTGCCATATATGGGCAGATTAAGGACAATAACCAACATTTGTTAAATGATTTTAATTATTATCAAAAGCCGAACGTAAAAAATGCGTAGGGAGATGTTGAAAAAATTAAAGGAAGGATAACTGGTATTGTGCAAGAAGCGTTTTTGTGATTGTGTTAGTGACGTATTTCTGCCAAAAATTGTGGGATAATAGATATGCATGTACTGGCTGAAATGCCTGGTGCACCGGTATTAAGCCAGTATATTTTAAATTATTATTACAGTACGGAATCAACGCATTTTTTCAGATTTCATGCAACCGCGTTTCAGGTTGAAAAAGGTCATTTTATTTTTGCTCATTTCTGTGCAAAAGAATCGTTAGTTATCGCAAAATACTCCGCAAAGTCAGAAAATCTTCATGCAACAAAACAACCAGTGTCACATGTACCGTACCGGCATTCATCAGTGTGCGCAGTTTAGAAAACAGCTGTTAATCATTCATTTAGTTATAATAATTACAGCGTTCAAAGTTTAATCACAGCTAATTGGATTGCATTGCATGCGGTTTCGGTCCAATTAAATCCATGGAAATACCAAAACAATCATCGGCATAATTACCACTGGAAAAATCCCGCTTCTCACTTTACATCGTAGACCATGTTCACCAGGGGCAATATTGCGAATTGGGCTCATCAGTTATAATATTCCCACTAAAAAGAAACAAAAGTTAGAATTAGTCCCGAAATTGGCATAATATACTTAAAGCGTCTAAGAAATTCCATAAATTTGTTAACTTACGCATTGCAATAATTACACACGTAGACGATGGTATTCGGTCCCAGCGTATTGCAATCCGTCCTGACTGCACATCCCACAACAGCTGTGTCTGCCCACATTAGCTGTAAAAATATAAAATTCTTATACGCCCATCAGAACCGGTATTATAAAGCAGGAATAACATTACATATTGAGTACAATTACATACCATTAATTTTTACTTCATAAAATTTTTAGAATTACATAATTTTGTGTTCGAATTAAATAAGACACTTGCAGAATCTCACCTGCGTGTAATGTCTAACACGACCGGTCGGTGGTTTGCAATACCGGAAATGCTCCTTTTCCGCCCACCACTGCTCCAGAGCGTCCGGCCATGAGAAGGCGCTGCCCTGCCGCCAGGCCACATTCTGACCGCATGATTCAAATCCTGCGATACAAAAAAAGCAGAATTCAGTAAATGCAAAAGTAAATATTCAAGGAAGGCACGGCTGGTGCAATGTGATCGATGATTACCTGGAATAACTCGACTCGCTTCATCACTGTGCGGACTCAGCGTCGTAGGGCAGGTGTTTGCCCATGCCTGTGCCTGGCCCGCGGCAGATTCACTCCATTTCAGCATCTTCATATTGGCGGCGCCCGCGGTACGCCGGTATTTGTTATGAATATCCACGATCTCGTTGCCGGAAGTGGACGACGTATCCTTGTCCGCAGGAGCCGGCGCGATGTTCCTTTTGCTTCCGGTTTCTCCACGGTTGTTGCTCGTGCTGCTGTCCCCGCTGCCGGAATCGGAGGTACTGTCATCAGTTTTCTGATCAGAAGCGCTGCTGTCGGTTTTCTTATCCGAGCTGCCGTTGCTGCCGCTTTCTTCCGTGGCAGCGTCGGTGTTTTCGGAGCTGCCGCCCGGACTGGTCGTGGCAGTATCGGATGTTAGAGCTCCAAATAAACTACTGAAAACACTGCCCAAATTGGAATTCGAGGTATCACCGGCGTCAATGCTGAAGGGAATGCGGTAGGAGAACGTCCGGCTCCATGTCAATCCACCGTTGACCATGGGAAGGTCACGGAGTGACAAGATGGTTAGAAATAAGAGACACAGTACGCTAAAGCCGGACGCCATATTTTAAATGCAATTGAATTAAGTTCAATTAAGCTTTTGGCGTAATGTATGTAGGAAGCGTCCGGCAAAAGCACAGCAACCGCTACGGAGTGCAGCTGTGGACTTGCGACATGTGACAAGTACAGTCATCGTTTATATAAGGACGGTACAGACGCAGCCATGACCTTGAAGGAGACTTATCCGCCGGCAAGTTGATTGGTCGTGAATAGCGTACCAACGTGACTAGAATGTCTTTCTTGACCAAAAGTGCTCGTAACTGCAAATGCACAATGGGAATTAATTTGTACTTCTTGCTGTTTAAATCAATCAACTGTCTGCACAATGGGTATGCATACTTTAATTGCAGTTCTTCGTCATGCGTATTCCGAGAAGTGTTACAGTCCGCAGGCATTTCATACAGCTTCTATGCTGCAAGGACAAAATTAGCAAACTATAATCAGACAGCTTGACGAGTTGGTGAAACTGGTTACAGTGTCGTCGGCACGTGCAAGTTTTGGCACGGTACGCGACAACTGTGCGTCAGCCGCATTTGCGGGGTCGGTTCTGCGTAATGTCGGTATCTGGTGCGTCGAATCAGACCTCCGGTCTTACAATGCAGCTTTGCCTAAGGATGTCTTTTCACAATTAACTTTCTAGAACACAGTTATTAAATTCTTTTTACGTGCTGTTTTATGTTGAATTCGTTGAGTACTTGTAAAAGCCTTACGCAGTTAGTCTTTCGAAAATGCCGTATTCAAAAGTTGTTGTGCAAGACAAGCGGCAGTATTGAACTAATTTTCTTTGGTATGTTTCTAGTCGGCGCACAGTAAAACGGTTTAAAAGATTGCCTCGTCGGTATAAAATGCTAATACGGGGTTTTTTTGAAACAGATTATGATTGTGAAAAATGCTTTAATCGGATGCCTACTATTTGCAACTTGTTGTACTTAGCATGTCTCCAAACATTTGGCTGCTGATAAAAGAAGTAGACAGCAACTGATGCTCAAGGACGATAAATATATTATAGCCGGTACATCCGCCCCCGATAATTCAGGGGCGGATGTACAAGTACTTTACTTCGCATGACCAAGCGCATAGTCAGTTTATGTTAAGCCATAAAAATCGGTGTGCACAGCCATTTTGAAGAATTTTTTTGCTCTCACACCTTACTTACAGCAGCTCGGATACCCTGATAATGATAGCAAGAAAACAGAGTCCTTTCTTACTGCGAAATGCAGTTTATATCCGTTTGTTCAACTGAGGCACTGACAGTCTGACGACAAAGCTGACGTATCACTAACATGCGTCGTCCGATCTACATGACGGACGACGCACGAAACCTAAGAAGAACTGGTCGATCTTTCTCAGCCGTTGATTTCTCGTTGTTGCGCGTTTGAGCAATCCACCAACGGGTACTCAGCAGTAACTGTCCGACAGCGGCACACTGTTACCTCGTATTCACACTTTTACACGGCTCTCGGGGATGTTGTAGGTAGTCTTAAATGCTTCGAATCACCTAAAACATGCGGTTTTTCTAATAGAAAAAGGGTGGATCCTCTCCTCGCACAGGGTGAATCAAATGTTTATGGCACTAGATGTTTCATAGTGCATGGGTTTTTGTCCGATCACCTTACTTGGATTAGACCGAACATAGCGAACATGCTGACCACTTAAGCCCCACTGTGCACGCTCCCGGCAACACTATTCGGCGAAATCGATTCTGTTGGACAACATCTCTATATAGCGCAATAGCGGTATCCGCTATCGGATCACAAACCCTTGCTCGCTCGTGAGTTTGACCACAACAGCGTCGAGGCCCAGCGCTTCAGCCAGATACCCTTAGCCTTCAAAACCGCAAACCGGGAGGGCTATCTTCTCGCATCAACACTTCCACCAATTGGCTCAAATATTGATTAGGATATCGCGGGCCTGATATTCGGTGAAGAAGATATCATTCTAGAAATACTGGTTGAATGTTTGTTAGTTCGTAACTTGGTATGGTCGGCTGGGACAGAGAGAGTCGATAGAGATCCCCGTAACGGCCACGTTTATGATACGGTCTCGAGGAAACAGCTTTCATTTGTAACTTTGCAACAGCCGAGACAGCAAATCCGGTGCGTCGAATGCGCCAAATTAAGCCAGCTCGTTACTGGAAAGAATTAGACAGCAAAAAGCAGTCGAGTTCAGTCAACATAAGCATGTCTACTAGTAGCTAGTAGTAACCTGTAGGCTGTAGCATCTCGCTGCATCTGCAATGTTTTCCAAAGCCGAAAGAAGGTTTGCTGAAATAAAAGGTGGTAAAATATGAAATAAATAATTTGGAAATACTAGTAAGATGTTTTCTTTATAAAAAGGCACCATTTTCACAGTTGGGACATGTATGGTATCATAATTATGGTCGCGTTCCTGCTAAAATCACGGCACGATGAAAGTGAAGCTCTGGCGGTAAGCGGCAAACTTACCGCCGGAGCTTCACTTACTGACTTTTGACAAATTTTGACATTTTTGACATGATCGAATTTTGTCGTTGCTGTACGAGTACTGGAAACAGTAATACTTCAAAAATATTCTTCTTCGGCAAACTGATCATTTCATACAAAGCGTACAGTACATGGTCAATGGTAATAAAGATTTCTCTCTCCTGTTTTACCACCGAAATCTTCATTCAGCGCTTTGTCAGAACTTCTTTCAAGATTTTGACCGCATGAGATTTCTTTCAGCTTTCGACACTAATTAGTGGACGCGGATGACGTCAGTTCAGTTGGCTGAACGGTACGAACTGGCTAGTACAGGTAATGTGACACCCTGAAGCCGTGGTAAGACGATGTAATGGATGATGCATTTGACATTAAAAATGACTGAAACCAGGGAAGTGCAGAAGCCAATTGTTTGCACTCTGTTATGTGCTAGAGGTGCTAGCACACAATAATGATCCCTGTAAGCGGTTCCTGTTGCCGCGAAAAACAAAGTATTGATGTAACTAGTTTCATTTTCATGCCTGGAGCGGTTAGCAACAACCTTGACCCGGCCAAATTGTGGAGGATTCGATTAATTACTGCCCACTTGTTAGACATTCTGCGTATTATGTCAGTCAGATAGTCTGGATTCCATTGACTGATGGGAAGTGACGCTCCAAGGATGCTTCCGGCAAATTAAAGAAGACTGCACAAGTACAGTTCGGATCGCACGCACTATGCACGTACAAACGCCCAGCGTACTGTACACGTGCCTGTGCAATGACCAGTAAAACTCAAAAGAATAGTAGTATTGATTTTTTTCACTGCTAAATAACTGCACGGAGCAATGAAGCGCTTACGATAAACCCTTCAAACAATTGTCTGTCAGGATTTGTAATTTCATGTTAGCGAAGTCATCAGTTCTTCGCTGACTCTTCAATCAGATAGCACTAAACAGTTACTGTAGTAAGCCGGACTGGCAAGGTCGATCGATGCCGGTCGGAATAATTCCGCTAACAATGAGGATTGCACCATCCTGTTAGCGACACTGCATCGTTCACTATGTGCACCGGGGTGCAGTGGGGTTCGGTTTCCGCCAGTAGCGGATTCGGCTGGTCAGCATCAACGTACCTCCTCATACAAGATCCACCGTTAGTAGCGGTAGAGGCTCTGTTATAGTTCGATAGGCAATTTCCACCGCCACGCAACACATTTCCTTCGCGTATATCACAACGGCCGTCTTTGTGTATAAACCGGCAATATCCCCCGGCTGCTGTAGTGACAAGGCATGGATAATTGCCGTGGTCTCCCAGTACAAATTATAAGACGTTCACCATGGTGATACGTTGGGTGCGCTGCAAATACGAGTGTATATAGCTGCCTCACATCCTGTTGCTGCGCACAAGATTGTCGAATTGCTGGAGCACATCAGCCAGTGATCATGTATGCCAACTGCAGTGACACGGATGTGGCCTGCCATGTCCACATGGACCAGCTGACCCGACTATTCCATCTGTATAACAAACTGGTATCCGTGGAGCCCAATCTGACCTTCGACAGTCTACTGGACAGGGCCGGTGAGCTGCTGCAGGCCCGCATTGGTGTTCCGGGCGCCCAGGAGGGCAGATGTATTGCTGGGTGACACGGTTGCCGCTGAAGTAGTGCCGGCGGATCTCAGCTATAAGATCACCGTGACCACCTCGCATCTGGGGATATTCCTGTTGGGTTGCGTGGGGAATGTGGCGGTGATGGGGGCGGCATTCCGATCCAAATGCTTGCGGACGCCGACGTACAGCTATCTGGTATGTCCGGCCTTGCTCTGGCCATTGGTCAAGAACAGCGAAAAAAATCTGAAGAAAATGAAATGAACGTTAGTGTTTTAGGTGATATTTTAAGGGCCAGAGAAATCCTGGGTCTAGCGCGGGCGGTCCAAGATTTCATTGTCCCACAATATCATCCGTATGTACATACGTACATAAGATTTTCTCAATGCAAAGCCTATAAATACCAGAATTTACGCATCTTTACTTTTACTTTTATTTCTTCTGTTTGAAGAAATCTTTATGCAAAACCTAGCTTACAAAATGCAGCTACTATAGTTAAATAGTTTTGTGTAAATATTTGAATTTTCTGTACTTCTATATGCAAGTCATGCTAATACAAACATAAATTATTTCAGCCCCTAAAGACTTAATGGTTAACACTGAATCGTAAGGCTGCTTCGATTGAAGAATGTAATTTCGGCGTAAGTTCAACCGATTGAATGTACGAGTTTGTACATCAGTCCAAATACGTAAATGGCTGTTGAAGAGCCTGGAATTCCATTTATCTGTAGGAAGTGGCGGTCACGATAATTATGGCAAATTTAATGACAACTTCTTGAACTTAGGTACTGCGCGCTATGGTTCAACCGCAAAAAAGGCAGCCGGAGACTTAATTTCAAAAACATAATTGCGTAGCATTTGTAGTAATTAGGCGCTACAACCTTTGTTTGCCAGCATTTGGCCCTTCGTAAACTAGCGTCAGTCATAATTACAAGATTCATTCAACGATAAAATTAAAGCACAATCTAGCATATGGCACTTTGCAAACTAAACATTAAACATAATTATAAAATTTATTCAAGGATGAAATTAATGCAGGATACAGCATCTGGCACTTCGTAAACTAACGTTAAACATAATAACAAAA